CGGCACGAGCATAGCCATAGATGTAATGGTTATAATGTGTTATACCAAGGAGATAATGTATTCCCATCATCAATTTTATTCTTCCTCCGAGCCTTTTCCATGAGCATTGGTGGTCATTTACCATCAGGTGACTTTTCTGCTGGTTTAGCCTCCTTTGACATGAAAAAATCATACATCTATACGACGGCTGCTATCGGGAATAACGAAGTGAAACAAACATATAGCATTTATTATAGTTTTACTGCTTTTCAAAATATTCTTAGTGATGATCGATGCACTTTTGCATACCTTGGAACCAATTTTCGTAGCACTTTTTTCACTCTGACTGTGGTATCTTCAAAACATGCATTTTGAATGACCCGAAAAACGCTGATGACGTAATTTATTCTTCACGGTTGGGAATAAATCGAAGTCGTTGAGGGCCAAGTCAGGGCTGTACGGCGGATGATCCGTTAAATCAATCTTTTAATCTTCCGAATACTGAGTTGGTTCGGGCGATGTGTGACAGCTAGCATTGTCATGATGAAGAAGGATTCTGCGTTGTCCGTTATTTTTTATTTTTTCTTCAAAAACTTCTGTCAAACAAAGGGTCGTGTACCATTCAGAATCACCCGTTTTACAATCCTCTAGTGGCACTGTAGTCACATATTCATTTATACCAAAAAAACAAGCGACCATTTGCTTCAAAGTGCTTTTTGAACGAATGACTTTTTAAATTGTACTTGGTCTGTCCGTGAGCACAGATCGCCCTCGATTAAACTCACTAAACCAGTGATACACATTTGTTTTTGATAGTGATTCGTCTCCAAAAGTTGAAGTGAGTTGATTGATGCACTATTTTTGATTAAGCCCTCGCCGAAAATCGTAGTAATCATAGCATGATTTTTTTTTCGAGTTAAATCCATAGTGATAAGGACACGCAATTTTCAAAATGACGCCACAGAGGATAAACAAATGACAGCTACATCAAAGAAATTGTATTCTACAACAAGAGATTCAATTTTAAATGTTGTGATTACTTTTTTAGTATTGTTCTGTAAATAGCTAGCTCTGGATACATAAATAGCAGCCCTCGTACATATACATAGTACAAAAAATATGAAACTACTTTTAACTCGCATATATTAATTTAGTAAATATTATTCAAAATTTAATATGTAAAGTTAAAACAGGAGTCCCCATGCTAACAAATTGTAGGTCCACGCTAGCTCGATTTTTCGTCTCTTTACGAGTTTTTAGTAGGTCGGGCGGTTAAGTGTAACGACCTGCTTTAGCTTGATGTCAGCCTCCGGGTACTTTCTGTGCCTCAATCAACTTTATGACTCTTCTATAAACCAACAGCGCCATCTAGTAAAATTAACGCGTACCTGTTTCTACGAGATATGCTGTCCTGGAGAACTGATGACATTTATTGGTTAACTATTACTATTATTAAGGATTGTTATTAGAAAAGCTTCAAAGGCAAATTAGTTCAAGAAAACTGAGTATACTTCGTAGTTACAGCTTACAAGCCTATAATCCGTTCCCCTATAGTTATTAATTTGAGTAAAAGTTTTAATGGTTTTTTAAATCATTTCTCAACCATATTTTTTAAAACCTTGTTTCGATATTTAACTATGAAGTTAGAAAATAATATCGGGATGGCAATACATAAATACGAATCCAAATTACGAAATTACTCCTAGTAGAGAAAAAACGCACAAACGTCGCTTAATTACATTATAATAATAAATTCATAAATTGTAGCTCTTTGATCTACATTTTTTACTTTTAAATATTTTAGTCACCGTTTCGCTTAGAAAAATGTAACATATATCTTTCTCAGCGAAACAGTAAAGCATTTTGTCATATATAGAATACCGCTGAAATAAATATTTTCAATTATTATTCCCAAGAACTTAAAATTTTATCGTAACCTTTAAAACGCAAATATTGGCGTGCCCGCTCTACTTTGAAAATGATCCCAATTGATTGTTGAAAATAAATAACTTCAACATAAAGTAAATATTGGCGACTCAAAATTCTGCGTTTGTTGTTAACTTTTAAATGAAAACCTTTAGTAGAACGTACACCATTGTTTCGTAAAAATAATTTAAATATTTGAGTCATTACTCAGACACAGAACTTTGATTGAATAAGTAAAATCGAGGACTCAGTGGAATCTTAACTAGAATAAAAAACCGAAAGAGATGATATTGATGCGGATGACGTTTAGGTAGTTTTTTTTTTTAATCTGTTTTAAGATCTATGTAATATATTATACATAGCAAAACCATAATAATGTTCGGATTGCTGTCTTTTAATACTTCTAAACACGTGTTCAATTAAGACGCACTTGTGTTAAATCGTAGTTATTAGTAGCGTTAAATGCGAAAATCTGTTTGTTTTTTTTTATGTCAGAGAGGGCAGACGAGCAGACGGGTCACCTGATGGAAAGCGACCATCGCCGCCCGTGAACGTTTGTTTGAAAATCTTTGGTTTCTTTACTATTCTACTAATTTAATTACTATTCTAATAATAATATTACCTGTTATATTGAGGGTCGCACTTATTTTGTTTTTGTTTTCAATTAGATTTGTAATATATTTTTTATTTTAGTGCTCTTTGTTAGTATAGTTTGAAGTCGGTTCAACTTTTTTTAAAGGATTTTTTATTCATAAAAAGTACAGTTCCAAGAAGATTCCAAAAAAATAAATAAAGCTAATAATAAAAAATGAAGATTGGTAAGGTATCAAGCTCTTACACTTTATTATCTCATAGATAGAGAAAGAGAAAGAAGCTAAGCAAGAACAACATCATCACGACATTTTCGTTCATAATACTCATAAGAATACTCGTATACGTAATCTCACCATTCCTATTACAATGTTAATTGTTCAATGTTAATTAAAGGCAAAATAAACATTCATTAACAATGAAATTTTCGGGAATTGTTTTTCTTGAAACATTGTGTCGTTTCTTGCTAAGAGATTCAAAGATGATTGTAATTCGCTTCTACATGTTTATTTTCCAAACAATTCGAGTTATATAGTTATTGTTACTTCATATACACCTCTGATACGACTTTGCCAAGTACCTGGAGAATGTTGATTGCATCTTAGCTGAGAGCTGCCAACATATCTAAAATCTACTTCGTATGTTTTCTGAGAATCGAAACATTTACTAATACATACAAACTGCTAGAAATAAAAACATATTTTTAGTTTCTAATAAATATTTTATTTTCACCTAAATTAATAGTCTTAATAGGCAAGTAGAAGTGTAGGGTAGTCTTTGAGACTGCCTCAGACCGGGATAGTTGGTGCTTCTTGGGATAGGCCTTTGTTCAGCAATGGATTGCGATAAGCTAACGATCATAGGCAAGTTGGTAATCTTAATTCAAATTGGTTTGATTTTGACCCTGATAGTTTTTTTGACCTGAAGAAAGTTACTAAAGCTGCCATAGAGATATAACCATAGAGAGAACACAGTGTACCACCAGGGAACACAGGGGCCTGTAAGTGAAATGATATGATATGATATGATATGGTTTGTGGTCATAAAACCCTGCACGATGAGATTTGGACTATCGGTCAATTAAACCAAGTGCCAGGCAATCGTAGTAGGCAGCAAACGTACAATGAGCAGATTGGATACTGCCGCTATCTTACCGATCGTTTTCAATATTTTAATTATTCCATTCAGTCTTGCAGTCAAAGACCTGGGCTTACTTATCGACTCAACCCTCGATTAGCGAACTCAAGTTACTAGCGTGAGCCAGAAAATTACTGGCCATTTGCGAACATTATATCGTCTCAAGAATTTCCTTTCTCCTAAAACTAAAACCACACTCATGCAGTCCTTAATAATCCCAATAATTGACTATGATGATGTGTGTTATTTCGACCTAAATGCAGATCTTCTTAATAAGCTAGACCGTCTTCTCAATAACTGCATTCGATACATTTTAAATGTTAGGAAGTATGACCACGTGTCTGCTTTGCGTTGCCAACTAAACTGGTTACCTATTCGCTTGCGCCTCAAACAGCGTGCATTTACCTCTCTATTTTCGTTTCTCAACTCGCCTTCCTTACCTACTCACCTTGCTCCCTGCTTCCGTTACCTGTTCACTAACCGAGACAGAAATCTTCGCTCAGTTAATAATCTGCTTCTCTTATGCCACAACTATATTACACAACTGCGAATTCGTGAGCTCTTCGTTCTTTATTCAAGCAGTACTACTCTGGAATGTGCTCCCGCTTGAAGTCAGGTTGTCCACAAACCGCTTTATTTTCAAAAAGAAGGTACATGATCTCGTTCCCAACGAAATGGTAGAACTATCTAATCCATAGTATATCTCATATTCCGGTGTTCATAGTGTGCGAAGTGTCGCTCTTTTGAGTCGACCCGTCCAGACGTTGTATAGCCTAACCGATATAGTCAGGACCAACAACCCGGAACACGACACTACCGCCTGCAAGACACTTGAGGGGGCCGTGGAAACACTTAAAACCAACTGAAAGTTACTAAATTATGAACTAAGATTACAAGCGTACACTATATTCACATTTACATATTTACACAAAAAAAAACTATACAATTCAATTTCAAATAAACAAATTGAAAACAAACGAAAAGTTACAACAAAAAATTAAATGTTATCTCTTTCAAATGTGGATGTACACGCAACGAGAGAGATATATGCCCCATATTTTACTCTGTCTCTGTTTAGCTAAGCTTAGATTGGCTACTTATGAAGCCCTCACACGAGTATTCCCCAGCTAACCTCACAGCTTGGCTAGAAAGAGATAGAGGGGACTAACTATTATTCATCTCTCTCGTTGTCTATATTGCAAGATTGGGTCTCTAGTTATATCTCTCTGAACGCTGCAAATGAACAACTTGGTTTGGTGTCAGTTTTAAAGAGTGTCAAAATTATTACGATGGTCAAGAAAAACCAATTAATTAAATAGATAAATGTTTTATTGGATTAAATGTAAATGGCCGTATCTTAAGATAATTTACTCTACTCTATATGAATCACACAAATTCTTCTTCTTAAAGTCTTCGAGCAAGTTTTTGTCCAGCAATTTGTTTACAATGTTTGATACTTGACAATCATATGGAGCTGATGGATGATCGGACTTTAATTGGAACACTTTTACAGGTTTTTTAGTGTATTTTGATAATCTATAGTCTCTAGCCAGATTATCTGCTTTTGGGTGTGATACTCCTTTCATGAGTACTAACTGAGACTCCAATTTCAAATCTGGTTCATACTCTTTAGCCAATAAGATTCTTTGGTATGCTGATTCTAGAATAGATCTCTTATACTGATTAGAATAATTAACCAATCCAATCATATTTTTCATGCAAATATCAACCTTATCTGACCATGACATAGCTTTCTCCAATTCGTGAGTTATTGTTCGTATTTCATTTCCAGTCATAAGAGTATACATATGTTCCAGAATAGTGTTTTGTAACATTGAGTCTGATACATCTCCAAGATAAGTTTTTAATTGTATCTTTAAAACATCTGGACTGCTATCTAAACAATATACAATTCCAACGTGTCCTGTAATTGGAAAGCTAGTGTAAATAAGTTTAAATTTAAATGAAAACTAGTAATTTGCTAGATACATCGTTAAAGTATTATTTATTAATGAGAATTAACAATACTGTATGGGAACCAGTATGGAAACCTCAAACTTTTTGACCTTTTTGAAACCAATTTTGCATTGTAATCATAACAAAATCTGGTTTGAAATAGTAAGTAAATTAATGAATTGAGAGGTTATAAAAATATTGTGAATATTTATAATAAAAATGTACTTAATAATGTACATACATAAACATGGTTTACAATTTCATTTATTTTAATAGTAATGGCGTCTATACTCATCAATTATTGAAAAAGATCAATTATACTATACAGTAACCCGTTTAATGCGATTTATCGCTTTATCACGTCATGATATAGCGTTAGAACATTATTTATCAATGAGAATTAACAATACGCTTTTGGCTGAAACATTGAGTATACTTCCGAACTATGGTTTAACAAAACAAATAATCAAAGTTTTAAATTGAACAATCTTCTTTCTTTGTATTCCAATTCTGTGTTTAATTTTTTTGGGTTTCATATTAAGATATATTGTAAAAAAAGGAACAGTTAAAAAGATATTGTTTTTTTTTTATTAAGGAACGAATCAAACAATATACGTGAATGTTTTTCACAAAAATGTTTTATACACAACTTTTTATCTCTTCTGTACAAATTATATTAGGTGTTATATAATTTCACACTTGTCACGTGTCGTGCGTAGTGCTCACAATTCGAACATAGTTCCACTATGCACTTTTAGATTAAGCTGCTTTCTTTCTTATTATTGCATCATTTTCATTTACATGTAAATATTGTCCGTACTTCCATACTAATACTAATATTATTAATGCAAAAGTGTGTCTGTCTGTCTGTTACCTATTCACGCTTAAACCGCTGAACCGATTTAGATCAAATTTGATACACAGATCGTCCGAGTCCCGTGAAAGGATATGGAGTAATTTTTATCCCAGAAATCATCCTTCAAGGGAATTAAAAGGGAAATGGAAGTTTGTTTGGGCAATCAATAACCGCTGAACCGATTTAGATGATATTTGGTGTGAAGATACTTAGATTTTGAGGCAAGATATAGGAAACTTTTTACCGCGATAACCGACATTTACATATATTATAATATAATATTTTATACTTTTTATGGAGTTGAGAGTAAAGAGTTGGCCTTTTCAGGCGACAAAACAAAAAATAATTGAAACATTTATTGTGAAAAGGTAAATAAGAGATTAAGTATCGCGTTTCCCAAAAAGCCTCGTTATTTATTTAATATTATTTTAGCTAAATACTGAATGTTTTTTTATTACAAAGCTTAAACATTACACAATTAGACTGCACGGATGGCGTAGTGGTTTAAGCGGTCGCCACGCCGCTTCCTACTACGGGACGACTCTTTGTGTGATCCACAAATTGTTGTTCTGAGTCTGGGTGTTCTTTGTGTCCATTTCATGTATGTTTGTAAAGTCCCCCGCGACACAGGATATATTCCTAATGCGGGAGTTGTCTTGTTCAAAGAACACCCAGACTCAGAACAACAATTTGTGGATCACACAAAATGTTGTCCCATGGGGGGATCGGACCCACAACACTCAGCGTAGTAGTAAACGGCGTGGCGACTGCCTAAACCACTACGCAATCCGTGCAGTAAGAGTTGGTGTTGTCCCTACAAGGAACAGTTACATAGGTATGCGATCAAGAGTTAAAAATATTTAAGTATGAGTATGAACAAGGATGGAATGCATTGAACAAGTTACGTTACGTTACGTTTAATATTTTTTTTTAGAATTAACACGTGGTATCATAAAAATTAGCAAATGTTTTTTTTTACAATATAAAGACTAAAGAATAAATAAAAATAACAAATATGTTGAACGTAATGCACTTGACTGTATCTCTTCAAATAAAACATAAAACTTGACCCTTTCATTTTCACCTTTCATCGTTGATGGTTGAAGTTTTTTTTTAATATTTCTTTCTGTGATTAATTTTCATTTTGTGTGTTTAATACTGAAAATATCTGCAGTTGGTGAAGATATCACATGTGTTTTAAATGTCGATGAAAACCTTTACTAAAAATGATTAGTGCTTCGTAAAAATGTATTTACGAGTAGTTGTGAAAATATCACACTATTTTTAGGTAATATTAAGTTTAAGAAATAGTTTTACCTTCTTTTTCCAATAAAGCTGCTAGCTCTAATGCAATGTTTACACCAAAGGAATACCCAAGGAGGTAAAATTTGGATTTCGTCTCAAACTTCGTACTCATGAACTAAAAAATAAGGCAATCAATTATAGGTACATAATTTCTTCAAATATTGATAGTAATTATTGAGAAGACATATTACATCTATTTAGTTCTTATTTATTTGAGCCTGTGAAAACCCGAAAAGTAGGAATCAAACCGACTAAAACGAACCGGTTTGCCGTGCAGCTTTTAAAATAGGCTGTTTCCAGAAAATGAATCAATATACTTCAACACATTTTCTTATTAATAATATTATACCTGGAATCACCCAGACTAATAAAAATGCATAAAATTTCGTATACTATATAATATTTGAAGTCAGCGTGGTGATCTCTGTTAAAGCGTAGTACAAATAGTTAAATTTTCTATGATTTCTTTCTTTGTATAATTTGTACGTTTATATTCACAGACAAAAAAAAACATATGCTTCATCATCATCACCATCATCAGCCTATCGCAGTCCACTGCTGGACATAGGACTCTCCCATTTTATCATATGCTTAGTTTAGGTATTATGTGATATATCCCAGAATATTAATTTTGTGATCATAATTACCTTTCGAACCGTAGCTGCCATCTCGGGAATATTATTTCCTTCAATATCGCAAGCCAACTGGACAGCCACTGCTTGGACCTTCAGTCTTTCCGCAATTGTTTCTAAAGTCTGGTGCCGGCCTTCAAAGCCTGGTATTAGAACTATGTATGTGTCTGAAGGATCCAAATCAGTCTAAAAATATATACATATATCAAAAAAAAAGTTTTTAGACATGAAGATGCACAAAAATGTAGGCATGAATTCAAAGCTATATCTTTATAAATTAAATGATCTTAAAATTGGCAATTAATGCTTTTAGTTGTTATATGTATTCGTTTCATATTTCTCTCTCTCATATCTCTTATTCTGTCTTGTGCGTAAATACAGATAAATATGAAACTAGTTTCTGACCTCAGCTTCGCGAGCTTGAGATACGACGAAAAGTATTATGTATGTTAATCCAAACGGCTTGTTTACTAAATTCTAGATAAATCTGTTTAGCTGACCGCCAGGGTTCATCTACTGACCAGAAAAATGAGTAAAATATTAAATCTAAATCGAACTACCCATTAGTTGTAACGAAACCAATTTAAGGCTTTCTTCTCAAGAGCCACACAATTAATTAAATTCATATATGCAAATGTATTTATGTATTTTTGTAGCTAAAATGTATGATGAAAATTAAGTATAATTAAGGAATATATACATCTGTTCCATTGTTGAGGATGGTAACCATTGGCACAATGGGGTGTGATGTCGCCATGTGTTCTTCTTCATCATCAATGTTGGTATAGAAAACACCTAAACCTTCTCGAACTACATTTGTAGTTGTTTGGGTTCCAAGAGATTTGAGACTGAAATAAAAAAGTTTAATATAAAGTAAAAATTATTGCAATTAAGTTTGATATTACTACCAATTTTTTTATTAAAAAATTAAAAACAAAAACTTTTCAAACTTCTAAATAAAAAATAAACCAATAAAAATTTAAAATTAAGACACAAATATGCTGTTACGGTATAATATTAAAAAAAAACAGTATAGTAACAACTTCCCGCGCCTTTGATCCTGTATAATTATTTTTCACCAGGATACAAGAATGTCATTTGTGGTGTGCCCGGCTACATTGATAAAAAAAATGTTGTTCGGAGTTCATAAAGTTCAAAGCGCGAAATGACGCAGAAATAAACGTTAATTATTATAAATACCCTGATTTCATTTAGAAAATCCAACCAAACGAAATCAAGAAAGTTATGGAATTAAACCACGTGTATCATAAGAAAAGCTGACAACAAAGTCAAACCTGTTGTATGTGTAAATTATAATGTACAGGAAAACGACAACCGTATATATTGTTGAACCAAGTGAAAAGAGCAATTTCCTTTCCTTTTAACCTTTAACTGCCAATCTTTATTACAAAGCTGAAGAATGCTAAGAACCTATTTAAGGATTAACTCAAAGAACACAATGTACATGTGTAGCCAAAAATAAAATTTACAAATAAAACATTTATTAACACGTCATTAGACTGGTGTTAGACATAAGTGGAGAACTTTATCGTAGCTCAGGCTAATTACCATAAAGTAAGCAAAAGACTTTTGTAACCAGTAACTGGCGATAGTTAGACAATTTGAAGTGGTGAAATAGTTTTACTTCGCTTCATTGGATTTTCAACGTTACTGGCATACCACTGAATTCTAATTACCTCGGCCAACCAAATCTAATATTGCAATCATTATGTATTCCACTACAAGTGACCGTAGAGCACTCATCACTACTCAGTGCACGTCTCGAAGGCTCATAAAAAACTTTTGCTTTCTCAAACCAATTTTCTCTGAAATTTTACGACTTGGGTATTGGGATAGCTGATCCTTTGTTTGCGAATCACTAGTCAGTGAGAAAATAATGGGTGTTATTTTGCTGTATAATGTAAGCATTATTGTTATAGTTTGTTGTACAGAATAACAGTATTCAGTACTCAGAATAAGTTTGTAGGCAAATCGATATGGAAATGCTTCAACATTATTGTTTTAACACAGCCAATCGTATGTCAACTAATGAAATCATGTACAAAAAAGTATAGGTAGGTACCACATAAGCACAATAAAATTGTTCATTAGTTTTTGTCGTGAAATACCAATGTTTTGTTTTTTAATAAAAAAATCTGAGCTGAGCTGAGCTGAGCTCTTGATAGTAACACGCTCAATACGTATCTTGAAGAGCTTATATGTAATTTTTAAAGTATCCGGTAAATATGTGGTCATAAAAACGTTCAAAATTTTGAAATTTCTGTTGATACTCCTGGAATACCCAAATACTCCGAAATATTTTATTCCGAATTTCGATGCTCCGATTTAAAAAAGTCCGAATTTCATAATACCTAAGAATTACAATGTCTATTATTAAAATTCACGAAATTATTTAATTGAAAGTCGTAAATGCAATGGGTTTGTTTTCCGATTTTTATAAGTTCATAGAATCATATGCTCGATGAGTTCTCGGTCCAAAAAACGACATTCCGATTTTCATCTCTTCGAATACACTGCTAAAATTAAGATTCTGATTTAATTAATACAATATTCAGTTACGCATTTATTTTCCAAAGCTATAAGGAACGTTTAATGTAATTTAAATACGTCCACCTTTTTATTACTATTTGTGTATTATTATTATTTTTTGTGTTTTCTTCTTATAAAAACCTGCGTCGGGTACCATCTAATGTTATTGAATTGTTTGGGTTAGGTTAGAACTGTGACCAACGAAAGAAAATATTTTTATTTGAAAGACAATAGAAAGAATTCGAATTTTTGATGTTTCGAATTATCATTTAGTCGGACTTTTTGTTATGCGATCTATTGAAATTTGGTATGTTAGGAATATTGAAATTTTTGAATTATAAAAGTAGAATGAATCATCAATCAGAGTTGTTATATTAGGAATTTTGAACTATTCGGAATTATAAAAATTGGTATTTTGAAATTCGTGTTTGTGACTGACGGAATAAAGATTTTCGTATTTGTGTAGTGTTCTGTCCCCTTTGTTGATGATTTGAGAGTCCATATAAAAAAGTTCTTCCTAAAAACTCAGTACTCCATCCTTGAGATTTTACATATTTTAAAATATACCTAATGTAAATTCATAATTATCACTTACCATTCTACAGTCAAACGCTGAATCTTCTCAATAGGATAGCTAATTTGATGAACGTTTCTGATAAGCGTTCGTAGCTCTTCCAAATTATTTTCATTTAGATACAAATCAGCGACCATTTTGTTGTCAATATTTTCCAATTTCACAACACCTTAAAATGTAATTTATGTTTATCAAAGTAATTTCCAGAAAATGATTTGAATTTTTTTCTAACACATAAATTCTTAACCGGGAACGTATCTGACCGGTTGCAAAACTGTTTATTTGAAAGAAAATAAAGTGTTTTAGGCGCTGTACAACACTAAAAATTAAAACTAAATCTTAAAACTGATAAATCATCTACAACAACAAACAACGAATACTGTCAACAAAATACCTGCAGTCATAACTTTACAAGAAACCTGAAATAATTATATTTTGTATACAAAAAAGTTAAGTAGTTAAAAATCTTGGGTTATTATTTAATTTTCAGAGTATCATGATCTAGTTATTTGTAAAATTCATTGATAAAAATGTTATGTATGTAACTGAATATTTAAGCGTAATAAAAATACATTGCTCTTTGACCCTTAATTGTAATACTTTGACAGTATTTAGTTACTTTTAAATGAAAGTACTTACCCAATATTTTCTGAAGCTTATCCAAATATTCCGAAGTGGGAGCTTTGTTCAAATTAAGAGATACGACATTCTTGTAGTTCAATTTCAAACTGGTTTCCATAGCATTGAAAAATTCAGATAGTGTTTGTTTTGAGTTCCTGTTTTCAGTTTTGTTCTGTAACATATTTAGTAATATTTACATTTCGATTTAGAACTTGTACGACCTCCTTATCCCGTTACTGCTAGTGGAATTGATAAAAGTCAGGTTATTAATAAACAAAACAGCTATTTTTTACAGTTTTCTTATGCGATAGTATTGTGTTATTTGGCATATTTCTACTGAATCTGTGCTAAAAAGCCATACCTTTTTTTATAGGCAAAAAACTTGTAGAAAAATCAATTTCTACCAATGAACAGTATTTTTTATTGTTGAAGTTTCCAAACTAATTTTTAATTATTCCTTTATTAAAATTTCACAGACATTTCTTGACCTTAATTTAGATGCTTTCACATCAATCAGATCAAAATCTCCGTTTCCATTTACAGAACTCCTATTTTAGAAAGTATTAGAGTAAGCTATGCTAAAGCTATCTCGAATAGACATATAATTATAAGTATACGAACCCCAATCAGACCTTCTGCTCGTATAAACAAAGCTGGTGCACCTAATACCGATCTGGCTTGACACACATTCTCTGATACAGACATCGCAAACTCTTCACTAGCATGACGTGACGATGTTGTGAGTACCACAAAATGGCTGAAAGTAATTTTTAGAGTCAAGAAAAGATTGACAAAGAAGAAGAAACAAGGATTGATAAAGATTTATTATTTTTAGATATTTCACATTACTTTTATTCCAACGCAACATGACAAATAGAAGACAGGTTATGTCTAAATTACATCACTATGAAAAAAGGAATCACTAAAATTGTTTCATTACAGCTAAGTACCGTCATTTTTATTTTATAACGTCTAATTATTCTGAACTTTAAATAATTGATTACAGTCCTGACATAGATGCGATACGCTAATGTTTAGCACGCTTATGTTAAGTAATAACCAAATTTAGGTGTTAGCACTCAGTTATAAAAGATTAACTATGTTTTATATACACGTACAACTTATTTTTCTAATATTATATTAATGGCATTCTTTCTTTCAATCTCTCCTCTTAAAACAATAGTATATTATTAATGAAATTTCGTATTATAATAACTTATAAACTTTTCCGTATGATAAATAATTATGTTCACACGTCAAACAACTTACCTGGTCAAGTTTACATGTATGTGTTATTCCGGTATGTTTATATATATATATATATACGTTTAGATGTGTGTGAATTGTAAACAACCCGTTTCTTAACTTTTACATTTGCTAATTAATATTGATTTGAAACCATCCTGCATTAATAGTTTTAATTTCCCTAGTGATAGTTCATTAAAATCACAGGTACTTAGCAATACTGACCAGGAATTTATTTTGCCATGTATACTTACACATGAATTAACATGATCACATAATAGGTATTTTATACCTAAATCTTACTTGTATACGTATGTGCAATCGCACGGATCGCGATGTTTATATTTATTTAGGTATATTTCGGTTTCTATACTCTTAAAACTTGTATGTGAAATTTCATGACAATCTGTTGTGAATTTAAAATGTTAAAACAAACACAAAATAGCCCCTTCCAATTCTAAATATCACTGAATTTCAACCTTAAATTACACAATTCCAGCATTAGTCTTACCTTAACTCATTGCAATAATTTCTAGAAACCAGGTCCAAATTTATAACCGCAATCGCTTTATTGAACTTCTGAACAAAGTCATGTGCATTCTCATCGTTCTCTGGAACCTGAACTATAAAAATTCCTTTGACGGATCCAATTCTTGCGGCTTCCTTTACAAGTTTTGTGCAACCATCCTCAGTTTGGATATTGTTGGAAGATATTTTTATCGACACACCGTATTTCTGCCAAGATCTATTGTAAAGTAATATTAATTTAAAAAATGGGATTTTATGGAAGATAAAGGGCTTAACTTTTGAAGTTATTATAACCAACTAGCGACCTGCCCTGGTTTCGCACGGGTGCAATCTAGATACTACTGCACACACACATAAACCTATTGATGACAACCCCCTTTAAATCTGCTGCGTAGTTTGAAAGATCTAAGCGTACAAGAACGGGAAGTGACTTAATTTTATACTGTGTAAAGATCATAGTTAGAGTAGATATATTTAGACATTCGATGTTCTGTCAACTAGGTCTATACAATAACACCACGGATGAAATGGGTATTGGGTATCTCGGTGGGAGCTGGGTGGCAAATCAACAAGCCAAAATCCCTTTGTAAAGTTATCCAATGTGTTGAATCCAAAGAAAAATCTGAGAAGTGCAGAAATATGATAAAAATAATGATTTAGTCAATTGAAAGCGTGTTAAGTCTATATTCCTAAATTTTGAGGCAAATTTTCTGCTTTGTTAAATTTAGTAGCTTCATTTTTCTTATTAAAAACCTGCAACTTTTTGTTATCCTATTAACATTATTTTCAACGCAGCTTATTCTCTCTCTTAAAAATATGTCTGAGTGTTAATATAAAGTTAAATATAATTTACTTACACTAATTTTGTTTGCAGATATCCACTGACTTTAGACTGCATGTGTAGAATTATTTTTCTAACACCTCTTTTGATTAATCTGGTAGCCAGTTCTATGGCTAGTCCATTGTCGTCACATATGACTATGTAGACTCCTTTTGAACAGTAGTTCATTCTAAAACATAAAAAATCCTAAGTATTAATACATAATGGTCATTGTGGATCTGTAGAAACAGTATTTTAAAAACTAAAATAATACTGCGCTTTTCAGTTCTTTATTACTCAATACTCAGTACTTTATTGCTTCCATAATGTAACTACATGGGTGATAACAATTCAAGAGGAAACAATTAGGGACCCTGTCGGGCGCAGCACAGTTTGTTTGGGAGAGAGGAAGATAATAAATAAATAAATAACACAATTGCAAAAAGGATTATCAAAGTATCCGATTGTCACTACGGCCATCATCATCAACAGCCTTTAACAATCCACTGCTGCACCTGTCGGCCTGGGAAAGCAGGTTTTAGATTACTATACAACACTGGCTAGGGTTAGTGATAGGGTTTGTTTCAAGGTTTCCTCCTCTTTGCAGTGCTGTGTTTCTGCGTAGTTTACTCCCTTAGTAGTCATCACGTTCAGCAACATTATTTATGTAATGAATAAAAGGTATCTGCCTGTTACAAAAAGGCACCAAATAAGATCGTCTTCTGTGGCACTGAAGTCTAATTATCATTGGAATATAATACTTATTTACTAAAAGTCGTATTTTATTAAATTACTTCTTGTGTCAGACTAATTAGAATGTTTTTACGCTACTCACAAAGGACCGCTTTTAGTCATATCTTTATAATTTGTCTGTAGCGCCTAGACATTGCTACAAACATTGTACTCGTATATTTTGATAATTATGTTTTAACTAAAGTTTTATAACTTACTTTTTTACTTCATCATAATTAAAAAGGATTGATAACAATAATCTGAGGCATAGATTATTCTCACTATATATAAATAGATTGAAACATAAATTAAAAGCGTTGACATTAGAGGCACCAGATATATATTTGTGTCAAAGTTAACAAATCGTTTCATGTGAATATCATCGACCTCGGCCCAAATAATATACACATATATTATGTACTTATACTTCATTAGGTAAATAAACCTATTTTCAGATTTATTACGAACGTTAAAAGTTTGAAATCCTAATACTTTAATTGAACTAGTCTAATATAATACAAAGAAAGACATTTGCTAAATAAGTCAGCTTTTCAGTAAGGTGCAACGTCCTTTTGTAGAATGCTAAGTAAAAGATAAGGCAGCTGCTCTGGAATTTACGATTCAGTTTATCTTTGTTTTAGGTGTAGCTCACTGAAGACTTGTAAAACAAAGGCTAAGGACACTCTTACACATAAACATACTCATTTGTATAAATTCAATTGCCATTTGAGTTGTAAATTTTAGAACAGAATAGTTTGTTTTAAATGTTGAAAGCACAAATGGTACAAAATTCATTGTACGACGAAGATGCTACTTTAACGTGGTTGAGGAGACTGTAAAACTTTTCTAAGGGAACTATGGACAATAGATAATACTACAGTGTATTGCAATGAAAGAGTCATAGATGCGTAATCACCTTTTACACTATCCTAAACTTGAATCGCTAAATAATTGCTAGAATTTATCGAAATTTAAAGGATTAACACGAAATCGTTGGTCGTTTTTAGTAGTATTTTATTTTTTGTGTAAATTTGAGGAACTTTGTACTTTAAAGACTATTCATTAATGATATGCTATCGAGTAACGTGGCTAAATTTTTAACACGGGTCCACAATAATTAAAAGCTTGGGGCGGCAACCGAAAGTCGCATACAATGGTCGCAGAAGGTCAACTCTTGACGTAACATGCGGCTAGTCAGGCGGGTGACATCAAGTGCCACATTGCCTGACAAGTATATTTTGTGTCTGGCGTCAAAGTCACAAGAATTTGTTCTCTAGTAAAAATGAGACTTTATATATTACCCTAATAACCTAATACTCTCACATATCTAACACACGGCTGTCTGATCTTAAACTAGGCAGAGCCTGTACTATGGTAACCAGACTGCTGATAAACACACTTATATATTTCTAAATACGTACATATCATAGATAAATAACACCCAGACACAGAACAAATGATCGTGCTCATCACACTAATATTTGGCTTGGGTGGGAATCGAACCCACGACCTCCGGCTGAGCAGTCAGGGTCACTAACCACTAGACCAACAGGCCCGTCAACATATTGCCACATTTAACATATTTACACTTTTAAGTATATGATTGGTTAGACACAGATACGTTGGAGATAAGTCAATCACATTTGTAATTTTAGACACGGTTATGGTTTGTTATTTAATGAAGTGGACTTCAAAATACAATCCAATTAATTGAAAAGTACATAAACATTAAAATTTAATAGTCACATATAGCAACGATGCGTAGTAGACTGCACGGATGGCGTAGTGGTTTAAGCGGTCGCCACGCCACTCACTACTACGCTGAGTGTTGTGGGTTTGATCCCCACATGGGACGACACTTTGTGTGATCCACAAATTATAGTTCTGAGTCTGGGTGTTATTTGTGTCCGTTTCATGTATGTTTGTAAAGTCCCCCGCGACATAGGATATATTCCTAATGCGGAAGTTGTATTAAAAAAAAGGACATATGCACAATTACCTACCTATGCTATGCCACAATTACCCTCAAGCTAGCAGAGCCGATGCCACAGCAACTAAATTATCCTATCCACCCCATCTAGACCTTCTAGCGATTTTAAGAACATTAAATAGAGAAAACAGCAAATTGATGTATTAAATCGTCTGCTATTAAAATAAATATGAGTAATGTAGCGACACATAAAGCAACGGAAATGCAACCGTTTTTATCCTCAAGATCTGAAATACAAAGGGAGGTGATATCTCCAATCCGATAGCTTCATGCTATGATAAAGGGAGGGCCCCTTTTCACGGGTCCGAAGCTATTATATTATGTGGTCATCAAAAAAACCCACTTACTTGCTTACTTATTAAAAAAACGTGGTTTTACATATATTATTAACAATCCATAGACATCCCTAATTCTACTTAACTAAGGATAGTGAACGGTATGTAAAGTCTTGAAAGCATAGGAGACGGACTGACAGAGAGTAGCATTCGAATTTATATTTCATGTGATAAGTATAAATACCACTCATAAAAGATTTTATTCCATAAATCACCTTTAACTTACCTTGGTATAACCTCAAGTCCTTGGCTCATTATCTCAGGACTCCTCATCTTAATCAAAACTTTCCCCACGTGTTTGCTTGAAGATAGAAGTCTGAATGCTCTTGAGGTAGCAGTAGGTAAATATTCAACACGGCTGATTGGTTTCACGATACCTCTGGCTATGCCTTCGCTTAACATGCTTTGTATGACCTAAAAGAACAAAAAATTATAAGAATTTTTAGAAATTCTAGTCAGTTGTTTTGGTATAAGGTTGTTGTTTAAAAGGGTCCATTGACCACAAAAAATGTATATTCTTTTTTATCTAGACTCAAACGTTCCAGAGCTCGTATCGTTCGTAGGTTTTAAAACAACACACTTACTAATATACACTATACTACTTATCCCACCTGGACGGTAGAAAAGGCAGAGTGAAAGAAAGAATAAGTATGCAGAATAAAAGTACGAGCAGTAGCACAAGCGAGAACTAGTATGAAAAGATGAAGTAGAAATAGGCTCCAAACAGAATTGGAGGTGTTAGTATTAAAAAAAAACAAAAAACTATTAATATACTACACAATCTCTTGTAAATAATGTTCGAATCCGCGACTCCCGCTGTGACTGTCGCATGTAGTACTATTTCACCTCCAAGGTCCTTCTCCATTACTTAAATTAATAACTAATATACTTCAGTTACCAAATTATTATTAAGTTCTAAATGTGAAGCTTTTTACAACTTTTTGTTGGCATACTTCTCTCTTAGTTGATAGATTACTACAAGAAAGTAAACTGTACCTCACAAATCATTTATAGGCCAGGCAAAAGAATTTTTGCTTAGGAGGAGGTTATTAATTTGGATGTTTATATACTTATATTTTTTCACATAACTCCGTCATATATACTCGTAGAAGCAGTTTCAAAATTCTTTTTTTCGTTACAAAGGGGTTTATCCCGAAATGGTCTCATTTAAATTTCATGTAGATCTGATAGTGAGTTTCGGAGACAAACAACGGAACTCTTCACAAAATGACAGCAAATCAATCGCGATTGCTGATAAGTTTTTAATGCTCTAGTAGTGTTTCAACTTCTTTTAAAAAAGATTTATAATGCTTTTAAGATCTCTGGTATTGTTAAACAATGAAAACTTAAAATAAATGATTGTGTTGCGACAAATATTATTCGTACATGTAATATACCGTTTCTTATATTTTCTCTCCTTATCACCTACATTTGACATTCAATATACTCAGGAGGTAGGTTGACAGCAATAGGATCCCTTTTATGTAATTGAAATAAAAACATAGTATACTAAAGGTGTATACCTAACACGTATCAGCCTATCCTCTTGAAGATTCAGGCGTTAGTTACATTGCTAACATACTACGTAAGCAGAAACACACACAATCATCATCATCATCAACAGCCTATAACAGTCCACTGCCGGACATAGGCCTCCCGTTACAAAAAAAGTTTGGCCTACTATATCAAGCTGACCAGACGGGTTGGTATAGGGTTTGTTTCAAGTTTTCCTTCTCTTTACAGTCCTGCGTAGTTTGCTCCCTTAGTCGGCTCTTACGACACCCACGGGATGAATAGGGGTGGTGACTTTCCGTATTCTTAATCCGTCACTACACGAACAATCAGTAACTATTTTTCAGTTGTGATTATACAAATTGTATTTCACCACTATTAATCATATATTTACATCACCGTATTGTTTTATAACAATTTTACATCTATTTAGCTGTAATATTTGGAATAAGTAAATACATAGTAGAGCCCACCTTCCTTTATAATGAACAATCCTTACCTGTTTGTTATTAGCGTTCTCAGGTCTAAAAATATTTGAGAAATCTACGGCTTTGTAGGATCTATCTTCTGTCAAGAAACTCATGCCAATGTTTTTGTTCTCGCTCATGTCATGAGAACTCAAATCCAGGAAGTATCCTTGACATCCAACGCATTTCATAGCCAGCTAAAATATAATAAATGTTTTAAATATTTGTTGTAACAGCTTCTACTCGTATCACCAGAAAACAATATGAAATAAGGAAAGAAGGAATCACTAAGATTGTATTTCACACGTCGGAATACAGTTTTTTTTTATATCTCCAGCATAAGATAGGTATACAACTCAAAATCAACTCAAAATATCTTTATTTCCCTTTTTTTTAATTGTTTGAAATCGTCTCTTGTGCAGACCCTTAAGTTATAGATCAACACATCAGCCACGATCTGTTTTGTCAAATATTAACTCAATAAATACAGTCGGCGTGTCTTAATATGATAAAAATATACAGAATTAAGTATTCTCTCTTAATTTCAAGTGTTAACTTATGGATATCATAGCACATAACATACAACAATGTACATTGCCATAAAACTAAACATAATCCTACTGTCTCGAACATTTTTTTTTCTAAGAGAACAGAGCACGTGATTTTCCCGAGCAATAGAGTTTTTTTATCTAACGGAACATAAAATGGTAAAATTACTAAAAAGTCTAGTTATGTTTCTACAGACTAGACATACAGGTTTTAATACCATTAACAAACCTATTTTTTACCTAAGAATAATAATCTAATTTTATTAAATAAAGAAGATTGGAGGGTTAATAAATCTTTTTTTATAGAATTTAAATATTAATTACTATACTAAGAATATTAAAAATGTAAATAAGAAAAAAGTAGAGTTTAAATTTTTATTTTGTCAATTTGGCATTTAAAGTAATAAACATTTTCGAATTTATTCCTTTCGAGTCTAGAGTTTTATCTAAGAATAAAATTAATGGACGTTAACTTACCTCTCGTAGAGGTCCACTGGCACTGTTGATAACAATATCGCAGCCATTTCCTTTAGTTTGAGTTTTAATCAGGTTCAAGAATGAATCATTACGAGACTGACCGATTTTATTCTCTAAAACATTTCTTTAGATTAGGATGATAAACTCTTGTTGTAATAAAGTTATTGATATTTAAAAGCTTTAAAACTATGGTAAAATAAAAATTGATATATATTGAAGAGGTCTTATATTTAAAAGACTAATAAAGTAAGTTTGGCTGATTGGCTCTTTTTCATTAAATATATTTAATAACACAATTTTTATTCATGTTCCAATTTTGTTCTCAAATCTGCTAATGTAGAACATCACTGATACAAACAAAATGTTGTTTTAGTACTCTATTTCCTCTCCAGAACGTCTTTTTAACATATTGTTTCCAACCATATTAAATAACACCTCAATTATATAAATTAATTCATCAATGTAACAAAATTATATTACAAATTCAAAAAAAGTACCTTTTTTGATATAAGCTACAAATACGAGTATATTAATTTAATTTTTACACATGTTACAAACAACGATCCAACTAAGTATTGTACTCACCGTCAAGCTGAGGGAAAATACTGAGGAGCATTTTCTTCTTATATTCGTTACTTACAGTGACATATATAGTACACCCAATTGAGAGACATAGCGATATAATAGCTTGACCAAGAGCTCCTGCTCCACCGGTCACTAACACAGTTTGATCTTTAAACAACAATCCTAAAATTGACTGAAAGGAAAATATTTACAATAGATTTTTAAGAAATATAGTCATGAAAAACACAAATATTAAAAAAAAGTTTTTTGGGTGATCGTAAATTACCGTTACGTGAAAAGGTTAATTCCATGTAAATGTTAATTTTTGGAATGATAAAGTGAGTAAAAATTTTATAATGTATTTATTTAAAAATAAAATAGTATTTAAAAGTACAACTTTATATTATAACAATTATTAATCATAAATATAAGATTATTCATAAGACTAATCTTATATTTATGATTAATTAAACAACCTTTGGATGGATTTAATGAAAAATATTTCGTTTATCCTTCAAATAAAAAACAACATGACAGTAAAAACAATAAAAATAATAATAAGAAATGAACAAAAAAGTTGAAAGGTACTGCTTCTTCACCATCATCATCAACAGCCTTTAACAGTCCACTGCTGGACATAAGCCTCTTCTTAGAAAGAAGGATTTGGCCTACTATACCACGCTGGCCAGACGGGGTGGTATAGGGTTTGTGTCAAGTTTTCCTGATGATGATGATGATCAAATAAAGTAAGATCAGCAATATGTCTGTCAGCGTTACGTAGTGATGGAATAACTAGTCTTCACACTAATATTTAATTGTGATTTTTTTATTAGCAGTTAGAAAATTAGTTGTAGTTGTGCAGTTTCGTAACGAAATGTAGTCCCTTCATTCGTTAACGCTTCACATTCACACGGCGCGTGCTTTCACATTCGCATCAACGCGAAGACTAAATTTAATTTAATAAATCTTCGTGCTAATAATATTCATACAACTACTAATGCTAAATTGCTAAATTTAGCGCGGAACGATGACAAATAGCAAAGGATTATATTGTCTATTAAAAAAAATGCAAGTATTTAGGATTGTTTATTGCATAAATATGTTTTTAATATTGAATTTTAGCAAGTTAAAAGTTAAATTTATAGTTTTTGGTTAAATTGTTTATAGTTATTCATTGAATTGGTACCTATATATTATTTGTTAATAAGAAGTTTAATTATAGGGTAGGGATAATTTTGAAGAGTGTGACGTGTACGTTGTAAATAGGTATTTTGTGAGTAGATTTTTTTTTTAAATAGATGGTGTTGAGTGACGAATTGACGAAGGCTAGCATATCGCGAACAAACTCTGCATTGCATTCTTTCTCGAAACAAAATTGCAATATTAGCAAAAATAATATTAGCGTTAGCAATTAAATTGCTAAGAATTCGCAATTAATTAAATTAAATCTAAATAGCATTAATGCCCATTACTAGCGTTAAGGTTACATTCTACTCATATTTACGTACAGCCCACACCTCCCTAGACTTTATATCTTGTGAGCGAAAGGAACACATTTAAATGAATATTTTATCAAACAGAATTCTACGGATATTATTAGTTTCCGGCTCAATTTCATGACCGAATAGATTTTTCTCCTATTGAAAGTATTTTTGAACTTAAGTTTATTCGTTTTAGATAAATGTCTTTCGTTTCACTCATATTGATGTAATGAAGAATACCCTTACATATTTAAACATTTCTGTTATATAAATAATACAATAAAATTGATATATTGTGGCATACATGATAGAAATTTAATTATTTTCTCATGGTAATAATCATAACATGTGACAGGCGTGTACGCTACGCACAAAACGGGAGGTCTTTATCATCTCAAAAATAATTCAGTAACGTTTAGACGCTGTCAGTCGACACTACATAGTAATATACTGCAATATGGTAATGAAAACATTTTTTTATTTATTTTATGCATTTATTTTTGTTCATAGATTGGATTGATTAATAAATGACTAAAGGAAAACGTGACCTAAAAACACAACACAATTATTGCGTTCTTAAGACACGTAACATTCCTTTTAATTTTTACACTATCTGATGCTGGTAAACACTTCATTTGTAGTATTTTAGGCACTGTACTTATATTTTTTTATAATATCAGTATAGTTTTCTTACCATACAATAATATGCCATGGCGTATGGGAGTGGCACAGTAGCTGCATCCTGCAGAGTCCAATGTTCTGGTACTGGCCATATCAAATTCGGGTCAGCTTCTATTGTACTACTTAGAGTACCACTTGGTATTATTCCCATCACCCTTTCACCGCTATGAACAAATTATGCATGATAATACACATGTAAATCCTGACCTGATCCTGAACACTGACCTACTTATGTCAGGTAAAGTAAAATACAAAAGGTTTTTTTCATACAGAAAAAATATATTGTTCCCTAGAGACATCCGAATCGATCCACGGTAAATTGTAGTAGCAGAACTAAAATTGTAGTAGCAGAACAACAAAAACATAAGTTAAAAAGAAATTAAAAAAGTATATTTGAATGGTAAATCGTATTGAAAAGCGAAAAATAGTTTATCATCAGACCATCGTTAGCAAGTCATATCTGTTTACTTTGTTTTATTCTTTTCATTTTTTGAAAGCACACTCCTGCACTAAGAATATATCCTGTATCACGGAGGACTTTACAAACATACATGAAACGCATACATATAACACTCAGAGTCGGAACAACAAATTGTTGATCACACAAAGTGTTGTTGAATGTGTGGATTGAACCCACAAAACTCAGCGTAGTGACCGCTTAAACCACCACGCCATCCGTGCAATCGAATAATACCGTTTGTATGTGTTGTAAAAACTAATCATATGAGTGCAAACTCGTCATTCGTGGGGAGCCATCTTGTTTTACGTATGGTATTTCGCTGCTAAGCAATCCTTTTATTGCTTTTACCAAGTGTGTGAGTCCTTCCAAATCTGGGGCGGGATTTAAATTGTGCCAAAGCACTTATGACTCTTACTTGCTGTGATACTTAGAATCAGATGACCTCACTGCTCGTTTGCCCCATGCCACACAAAAAAAAACTCATGGGATTTATCTTTTAGTATAGTCTCAAAAGTAAGGTAAAGGTAACTTCTAAGATTTTCTTCCATAGTCTGATTTACCATTAAATAATTTTTCGTTTTGAACTTATAGAAAATTATCTTCTAGTTTTATTTAGGCTAGTTACCTAAGTGTATAAACAAGTATAAACAATAAACATCATCGTCATGTATTTTTAAAAACAAAACAACGGATATTTAAAAAAATACGAATGCCGGTGAAACAAAAATAAGTTATAAAATCAATAGTTGATTCGTTAGTTACATTCTTTCACTTGGTGAAATTGCCTTTGTTGGCTCCTCTTTATTGGCCGCTATGTGGATTCAATATTGTGAGCCAAGTTTTTTTTTATGGTATAAGGGCGCAAACGAGCACACGGTTCACCTGATAGTAAGCAACTAGCTCCGCCCATTGACACCTGCAACTCAAAAGTCACAAGTGAGTTGCTGCCCTTGGAGTCCCTTCAGAGAAATAGCATTAAGAAACATGGTGGAAAATATAGGATGTCATGGTGGATTATGTATATTTTATATATTTAATGAAGGAAATATGTTCAAGGCATCAGAAAATATTGTTCCATCAGCGGCATTTTAAACGAAATATATAATTACATTCAATTATTTTAAATGTATGTACTCGTCAATGATGTTCTTTGTTTTATTTCAATTCTGTAACACTAACTCTACAAAACAAACCTAATTTTTTTGTGTGGGGATAGTTGAAGCGCTGGAGAATAATACAGGCTGCTTTTCATTTACTTTCAACAAGTGTGGAGTAGACAGAAGCTTGTACGAGTAGTATGTACTTTGACATGAGGTCATACATATAAACGCACGGATGGCGAAGCGGTTTAAGCGGTCGCCACGCCGCTTCCTACTACGAGTGTGTTGTAGTGTTGTGGGTTCAAACCCCACATGACACGACACTTTGTGTGATCCACAAATTGTTGTTCTGAGTCTTATTTGTATCCATTTCATGTATGTTTGTAAAGTCCCCGCGACACAGGATATGTTCTTAATGCGGGAGTTGTCTTTTTACCAAAAAAAAAAAATCTATGAAGCACACCTGATGTTATAACTTTATAATACATTGTGAAATAATTTTGGTATCTGATATTTTTTTTTTTTTAAACTTTCATAACTTTATAAATGATCTGCTATACTTCAATAAACTTTTTAATTCTTTAATAAAAAGGTCTAAGCTTTCAAATAACACTTATTTTATCTCTGTACTTGCTGGGGCACAGGCTCATACAATTTTTGGCTATCTGCTTTGATAAGTATAGCAGTATAATATATATTAGTATATTTATATAATACAAAGACAATATACTTAATATTCTTTCATGTGTTTGTTTATTAGAAAACTAAAAAAAAACATCTTAGTCTATAACTGCTTTTTAAAAATATATGTTTTAAAAGTGTTAGCATGGTGGCATCATATTTACCTATAGCCTAACATCTCAAGGTAACTTTTATAGAAGTTAAAAAAGAATTAAAAAGAACTTACTCGCTATCAATACCGCTAAAATCCATTCCGAAGGACATTTCTTCGGTATTATGAATACTTAAAGCTTTTTTCACATCTCTTAGTGAAATCCCACCATATGACACCTATAGCAAAAAAAAACGAATTAGTAAATATTTCAGCCAACTTAGTTAATAATTGAATTTCGTACACTTTCCTTTTTCGAATACAGAATTTTATTTGAGGTTTGTGCCATAATCTGATAATAGCACTTAAGTGTTACTCAAAGTTAGGGTAATCTAGGTCAGTAAACAAGGACAGGTACTTTCTAGTCGGTCAATTTGCAAAACTGTCCTGCAAGGGACCTAAATGGAGTGTTTCGTAGATTTTAATTAGAATACCTCTTTAAAAAGGTTTGTAATCACAAATCATTAACATCATCACATCAACAGTCTTTAATTGTTCACTGCTGAACATAAGCCAGACGTGTATAGGGTTATTGTCAAGTTTTCCTTCTCTTTTTGCAGTGCTGTTGTAGTTTGCTCCCTTATTAGGCTTTTGGGACACCCACGGGATGAATAGGGTCATGGTGACACTCTGTATTCTTAATCCGTCACCACACGGGTATGTGAAAAGGCATTGTGTAGTTATAGAGATTCTACGAATTTGTGTCCTGAGTTGAACATGATTTATATTAATCACTCCAGTGTGAAGTTAGACGTAAAAAATGAAAAGGTGTACGTGACAACACGTAGTATGTATGTTACTTTATTCCATTACTATAACAGTCATGTAGGTTACTTTATTCCATTACTATAACATCTTCAATCTCGTCAGCTATAAAAAGATAGAATTAAAAAAAAACCACTTGGTGGAAATATTGTTGTAGAAGTTTCTTTGCCTAATCCTGTAACTTTGAACATCCCACACACGCTATACAAACACCACTCACAACATTCACTTACACACACTACTCCACATACAAACTACACTATTGCTATCTGTTTAGCTATATTTGAGATGCACTGTATTAGGTATATTCATACAGAATGTTTACTCTTGCTGTGTATGTACCTTCAATTAATTGTGTACTTCGTAATTGGCGTATTGTTCGACTATTATTATGTAAACTATATACTCTCAGCTGTGAAGAACCTAAGTATTAAATAAATGAATAAATAAACAGAAAATCGTATGTTTTATTTTTACCTGAACTAGATGTTTACTTGAAGGAACAGTGGGGGCTTCAGTCCAGGTCAAGCTATCTAAATCACCTGGTGCAGTACTCGTTAGAGTAGCATTTCGAAGTTTCGTCCTTGTTGAAACAGGCATGTAGTAGAATCCACCCCATTCACCCTATCAAACATACATAATAAATATAAAAACCCACACAGTTTTGAAAAGTAACAGTCAGTCAATTCTAATGGCATAACTACGAATATAAATATTTTCTTATATTTAAGGTTAAAAGTATCACCGACAACTGTGATAAAAATGAGACTATGTCAATATCCCATACACATTTCTAGGTCGAAAATAACAGATTAGTTGCTCCGTGAAATATATAAGAAAAACACCAGTCAATCAGTATATTGAAGTAATAGTTATTAGTATGCAGAATTAATATATTTATACCAGCTGTACTCTACCACGCTCCGCTGTAGCACATTGTCATTTTACATTTGTGGTCGGTGTTACATTTATGGGAAATGACGAACAAAACCGGCCCAACAAATAGATAAAAAACAATCTTTGAAATTTGAGCTCAATCGGTGAAGAGCTTGTTTGAGTTTTTAAAACGTACACAAACCAACTTAAAATTTTCATAGTTATAGATAAAATTGTTAACTAATGATTTTCATTTTGTGCTTCCCGTGTCATATACTATAGTCCATCAACGTCGTGCGCGACCGTTCTGCGGGGTGACAGACGGTGGCGGGGACGAGGTACTCAAGATGTCAGCGGGTAGCGGGTGGTGTAGCGGGAAAGGGAATCGTGTGTAGCCGTGCACTTTCTGTCACCCCGCGGGACGGTCGCGCACGAGATTGCCGGGTTATAGTACATAGTTTAAAAAAATTGTCTTATAGGTACCAGTACTTTTACCAGTGAATTTTTAACTATAATATAATTATAATATAATTTTGATGCAATTTGAAATTTCCATTACATTAATGATATCTTACAAAATAAATCAATTTATACCTTTTGCAGGACATTTACAGCGAGACTCTTTTCGAGCTGTTCCTTGAACAGACCGTGTTCGGGATGAAAAGCCGGCGCATTGAAGTCACCAATTGATACTAGGGCTACTCTATCTTCTCCTTCTAATCTTAATTTCCTAACTAAACCTGGGATAATAATATGTTATTATGTGACAAGATTTATTTTACAAGTAACGTTGTTTGAAAATAACATAATATTATAATGTATAAAGAAATGGTGCTTTATGAAAATTTCCTAAATAGCAACTAAAAATTTAAAAAAAATTAAAAGCTTTTATTATTTAGTCTAATATATATAAACAAGAATAAGCAAATCAAAAATTAAAGTACTCTGGCATAGTATACATAAGTACACCAATACAATTCAAAATTTCAAGAAAGGTTGTATTTTCATATTTTATTTAATTTTTAGTAAAAACAAATTGTCTTGTAAATTCAAAAATGATAAACATGGAAAATGTCTTCCCTACCTAAAGCTCCACAATATGGCTGCCTCTCGGAGAGCAACACCACGCGCTTCGTTTTATTAAGCTCATCATATACGCGCGATACCCAATCCAATTTATTATCACAATTGACGCGAACGTACGTCACATCCTTGAAATTCTGCCTTCTCAATAACATTATTATTTGTTTTCCGTCAGACATAGCACTCGCAACATCAAAGTGTTGTTTTGCAAGACCCTGAATTTTAGGCACTCCCGTTTCCAGTGCTAAAATAAAACAATCGTTTGGGATGTTTCGCAGGTTCTTTAATTTCTGCAAAGCAAAAGTTAAAAATTAATATTAACACCCGACACTCCGACCTTCCAGAAATAGCCAACTTGAAATACGAGTTTAAAACACTGCCTGCTGGAGATATTAATTGAACTACCGTAACCATTCGCATAAATAAAATCTGTTTTCTACCACTGCAATTTCTATCTATCATATAGTATTTATTTTAAATTTTATTCTTTTATATTTATATATTATTCAAAAATGCTGTTATGCCCTTGAGATAAAACTGAAGTACTAAAATAACTACTGTATATAAAGTACTCTAATAAAGTACTGAAGTACTAAAATAATGGCTTAAGAATTTCAGATGCAGAATTAGTATACAAGTCAATCTTAATTACGGTATTATTTATTTATTAATACATTAAAAAGTCTGCTTTGCAACTTATAGGGGATTTCATAATTCCAGGCGCCTGTTGATTTGATATTTGATATTCTGCCTGCCATAGGTCGTGAGCTCTATTCCTCCTCAGAAGACATAATTGTGTAATGAGCATGTTTATTTGTTCTGTCTGTTTTTAAGTATTTTTCAACTGTCTTGTTATTTTGGTACAGGTTATGCCTAGTACGTCTTGTGTAAAAAAAAATATAATAAATGCGGCGAGGTAACTATCAATAAACATCAACCCTGACAACGTTTTCCAAGCTCTTATTTAATATAATCGATTGTTGATAAATACATATTTTCATTACTTACTATTTCATTATCTAAAAGGTTTTCAAGGATAAATACGTTAGCTTTTTGTGTATCCATATTTCGTGATAGCAGAGCTTCGTAATCTTCGCTGACGTTTAACTCAGAAACAACATTAATGTTAACATTTGGAATATTTTGAGATATTTCTTTGATGATACAGTTAATATTATTATTTGAAGTGACTATTTGCGTCACTCTAATTTCATTCATTGTTATGTTTTCTGCCACTATTTGGAGATTTATGTGTAAGGCTGTTTTTATCTAAAAGAAAAAAAATTATAATACATATTTTATGTATTGAACTTACAGTTTATAAGAGATAGTAGAAATAGAAAAGTTAGGTACAATTTAAAAACCATATTTGATTCTTTATAGTCCCTTCTTAGCTAATAGACTTGCCTTCTATTACATAAGTGGGACTAAAATATAAGGTCAGTGAAATGTTAGCGTCAAATGCGTCTTTGTTTACCCCTTCAGGAAAAAAAAAGTAGGTAAATATATCTATGTACTTCTGCAATGACAATCAATGATGATGAAAAATTATGAAAGATTAAAACTCTTATTTATTTCATTGCAGTATTGTAATACAAATAATATGCAAGGACTAAGAACAACGAATGATTAGTAACGTCAATTCAGTGACCTCTGCTATAAGTACCTATCACTATATTTGACCAAATAGTAAAAGCATTTGATACAATTAATATTAACTTGAGAATAAATTACTCCATTACGCAGACACGACTCTATTTATTCGTTGCGAATAAAAACATTGTTAATTAAAATAAATGACACCTACTTGAAGATGAAAGTCAAATTATTAGTTGCCTTAGACGCATTGAATTGATTAAAATATAACGAATTAAAGTGAAACTTTATTGAAACATAAATTATCTAAAACATCTTAATAATACCTAATTTTTGTAGATAAATATGATTTGGGAAAGAGCTGATTATGAAGATGAGTAACTTGGTAAGTTCTAATCTCTAGCAAAAAAAATGCAAATGGGTACTTGTCCTATTTTATAGGATCATCTTATATATAAAATTCTCGTGTCACAATGTTCGTTCCCGTACTCCTCCGAAACGGCTTGACCGATTCTCATGAAATTTTGTGTGCACATCTGGTAGGTCTGAGAATCGGCCAAAATCTATTTTTCATACCCCTAAATGGTAAGGGTGACCCATCCCTAATTTTTTTTTTCGGCAAAGCAACGTTTGCCGGGTCAGCTAGTATTTTATACATTGTGGAATATAAATGCATACATAAGTTAACTTTTAAGTTCTTTTTCTAAATATTCTCCAGTACATAACTAAAATTTTGATACTTACGTCAACTTTGTTCATAGAGTAATGAGGATAAAATGATCTGGACAACAATACGTCCGGCTGTCTTTCAACTAGTGGTTTGTCTGTGAATCTCAAATTATCTATTTCCACACCGGCGCACCTACAATATAAAACTGTGTTAATATTTGCTTAACCTGTTTTTTTTAAGTTTTTTTTTAAATTTACATACGAGTATGTGTATCATTTTTATACAGAACATTACAAAAACGTAAAGTCAAATTTTAGGAGCGTTACGTGTAGCTGAAAATTAGCTGGTAAAAGATTGAAAAAAAGGTTAAAAAAAATCATAAAAAAATGCGTTTTAGGGGTATGTAATCGTATAGGTTACATTTTTTGGGTTTACGTTTCTAAATTACATGCTATAAATTTTCATGGCAATTTCAATGGTTGCTGATTTTTTTATATGCAAATAACTTATAACAAATCTCCACAACATTATTGTCCTTGACTTTAAATAGCCATTGTTTAATTTATGTTAATTTTGTTTCTTACATTATACCAATATTCGGTCTATATTTTCAAATTCCATTTTCAGTTTCGAATTTAAAATCGTCTATTAAAAATAACTAGTTCACCATAAATCGTTAGAACGACTCGTTATTTAGGTACAAAGTGTAATATGCAACTCTAAAATATATTTGTAACGCTATATGTGTCAATACCCATAGATATCCATACATAAAAAACTCAAATAAAACATTCTGACTCTGTGTGATTCATCTCTTCTGAAATACCTAGAGTTTCAAATTTTTTTAGAGTTCAAATATCCACCCATAAACATTGTTTTTTTTTCATGTGAGACGTAATCATGATTATATTACTCACATATAGCCAATCTTCATCATTTTCTATCCAGCTCTGATAACGAACAGGGCCCTATCCTGAATCGTATACTATGTAGGGAGTATTGTATTACATCTGCATTGACATCTCCCTAAGCAGACAGTTTCATGATAGGTATTATTACGTTTATATTTATATTCTTACCTCGTAATCCCACTATTTTTATTAAACTCGGCATATAAACAATTAACTCCATTCACTTCTTCAGTTTTTGATATGTCTTGTTCCAAAACGCTTATTCTCAACTTCCTGATAAATTTAGGTACAGAAATACCATTGTAGTCGTGTGCAACAATATTTAATTGAATCAAAGATTCTAAGAAAGTGACCCAATCTTTATTCCATTCAATATAAGCTGCATTAAGATCTAGATTTGATTGATGAATTCCTTTACATTTACCCCTGAAATACAAGTATTTGAGTTAGAACTTGTATATAATGATAGATATGATAAGAAAATTAGAAAAAACATTTTGCTATTGTTTATTAGGAGCCATAGTCCACTACTAACCATATGGCTTATGTCGTGTTTGCCTGCCCTCTGAGGTAAATATCTCTGTATTCTTAATCCGTCACCAAATATACTTACTTATAGGAATATCCTCTTGACTCCAAAATTTTATATACATCATCTAAGTCTAATAGGATAAACTCTTCCTCAAAATTGATTTCTTTTTTTGATTTTTCAACATCCTGGTAGAATTTTAATACTTTTACCGTACTCACAACTCCACTTGCAATCTGGGTATCACCTTGGATAACCTGGAAAATAATTTGAACTCTGCTTTATTTTAACGTAAGTACTTAAAGTCTTTTATAGGACGTCATGATATAAGAATGCAACTGTTGGATTATTTTGATTCACAGAATATTCTTTTGGTGTACTTAGATATACCGAAGTAGATACTTTCGATATATTAAGTAACACTGTTTACTGCATTAAATGTAGTAATAAATAGATTCTTAATCCGCTAAACTTGGATGAGCTGCTTTCTTATGCAATCGGTCAATTTGAGCATACAACGTCTAAAAAGAAGCTTTAAAAGCACATACCTCAAAGTTATTATTTCCTCTGCTAATAGCAATTGATAGCTTGAAGGGTATATCAGGGTTAATGGTCACCTCACCATGAAACTGGATATCTTTGAACACTACCGACTGACTCTGGTATTTTACTCCAATATGCATAGATAGAGTTTCCCAAACCAGTACAAGGATTGCAGACTCTGGGAGCACGTTGACACCTGTATACAAAAAAAACATCATGTATTATTTCAAGCCAAAACTACCGGTGGCAATGTTTGAATCGAACCGACTAAAACCGCACGCCGTCTCAGGTACCAGTAGTCGGGGAACCAGGTGTACCCAAGAAAGGAAATCCCTGGTGCCTACACATACCTCGGGCCATCAACGGCGGGTAGAAGACCCCCCCCCCCCACCTGTGGGAACCCCCATGTTCCCTCTGTGCTCCCGGAAGAGCGCGCGCGCCTCGCAGCGTGCTCGCCGCCGCCCCAGCCTGCTTCTGCTAGGGTGACAGATGGCCTTACCTGTCACCCCCAGGCCTGCGCTTATGGAGGACGACTTCCGGCGCCTGTGTCGTCTTCGGTATCTGGCCCGTTCCCGGGCCTGGCGGGCCGGGAGAGTTCTAAACCTCTCCCGGTCCCGTTCCGTCGTCTCTGCCGTCTCCTTCTGCGAGCATAACTTGCTCGCAGAAGGAGACGGCAGAGTTCCACGCACTCTAGCGCCAGGTGATCGAGCGAGAGAACTCCCACTCCGATGGCCGCCACGAGGTCTCGCCTCTGCTCCACCCACGCCGGGCATTCTGCCAGCGTGTGGAGCGCCGTGTCCACGGTCCGACCATCACAGTGTTGGCACTCAGGCTTTGGCTCCTTGCGGATCACACACAGGTAATCCCGGAAACATCCTTTCCCAGTGATCACCTGCGTCGGTCGCCTTTCGAATCCTTCATAAAGGGTCTTACCGCCGCGATGACGGCGTGCCCGGCATTCGGTTGACCAAGTCGTTCCTTCCACTCCCCTACGAGGACCTGGCGGAGTTGGGATTTCTGGTCATCGAGTGTGGAAGTAAGGCCTACGAACTCTTGCTCCAGATAAACGAGCCAGCCGTAATACCTTTTAAAAGGAGTTTGTTTTTTAATAACAAATAACCTTAGATCTAAAACCTATCGGCAAAGAGAAATGTTGATGTTTTTTTTTTATTACTAAACAATTATACAACTATTTAAAGAAGCTAAATTAATTAAAATGAATAACATTTTATCTGTCAGACGTTCTCAAAGAACTCAAATAAAAATAACAGTTTGAAAAATATCATACCATCTCTAGCGTATCCTTCCAAGAATTTGTAATCATCGTCGTGAATGGACATAACAAAGTTGCGAGAGGCCGTCGTCTTTATTTCATCTTTTTCTAGGAACGAGAATTCCGGCCTGTAATATAACTTATATATTACTTATAAAACTTATATTTATTTGAAATAAATAATACTAAGCTTTATAAAATCTCGCACAATGGATTTTAAATTTTGGGGAGAGATTGATATTTTTAACGAATTATAGCTTTATTTAGAAATAAACAGTACAAGTAATTAACAATACTCTCATTGAATAATGTGTAAAAACTTTTTTTTTAACTTTTATTTTAGAGGGGGCAGACGAGCAGGCGGGTCACCTGATGCAAAGTTACCATCTGCAACTCAGGAGTCACAAACGCATTGCCTGCCTTTTAGGTAGGAGTACGCTCTTTTCTTGAAGGTTTGAAGGTTGTATCGGTCCCAAAATACTGCTGGTTCCACAGATTGTGGTGTGGTGCCTTGGTGCGGGACAAAAAGTGTCTAGAAAGGCGCACAGAGTTGAGCGCCAACTATCCAGGTGATGAAGATGAAAATTTTGCCGTGTGGAACGATGTGTTCTATATATTATATATAAGCGATAGATAGGTTTGTATCTTCTGCTACAGCTAGCTACTCTTCTATATAAATAAAAATAAATGCCCAAAATGTATGTACGCGCATAACTTTTGAACGACTTTACTAAATTCAATCATTCTTCTTTTTTGTGTTCGTAAAAACTCAAAAAGTTGTGCACCGATTGAGCCCAAATTTTGACACGATATACAGCCTACTTTAAGAATTGTTTTCATCTATTTTTCACGACATTTTTGTTTCTCACTACCTTCACTCGCATCAATGCAAAGACAATCTACTACAGATAGCTAGCTATTCTTCTATATAAATAAAAATGAATCCCCGAAATGTATGTACGCGCATAACTTTTGAACGACTTTACTAATTTCAATAATTTTTATTTTCTGTGTTCGTTATTATCATATATACGAGTAAGATAAGATTTGTACGATTACAGATGCTCTTGAATCAGAATACACTCAGATGGAGAGGAATACGATCTTCCTATCGATATTACAGTCATAGCGATGTCATCTATCTTCCATATATGATATATAAGCGATAGATGATATTTGTAAGCAATTGGGGTATATATTTAATTGTATTTACTGTTGTTGTTATTTACTACAGCTTTTATGAAAGATGACTACGACAATGTAAAAACGATGTCAGCTTTGTTGACGTCACTCTTTTTAAAAACAACCCAGACAATTATACAACAGTGTTTTGATGTGTTATTTATTGTTATTGATAGAAAAATTCCACCAGTAAGGCGTCAAATTTTTTGTTGACCTACACTAGCAAAGAAGAGGCCTATGTCCAGCAGTGGACTAGTAAAGGCTGTTGATGATGATGATGATGACACTAGCAAATCGAGTTCACAATCTTCGAGACAATTAGACTGAAGAAGAGCATAGGCAGAGTTCAGAGGCAAACAGAATACCATCGACTTTAAGCGAAGGGCAACAAAACAGATGATCAAACGTAACAATTACCTATGAATGTTCGTCATTTAGATATATGTAATATAACAGTCGATAACTTGATTAAAATGAGAGATTTTAATATTGTTTTTATTTTTATTTTTTTATGTTTATAATATTAAGCTTCACGCGATCCCACGCCCCCCATAACACGCGCCCAAAAAATCGCATTCCATGCGATTTTTTGGGCGCGTGGGATCGCGGTAAAAATTATAAGATTGCTTCAACAGCAGTCCGATGTCTATAATGACCATATAGACGAATGGCAACAACGCTGGGATGAATCATCCAAGGGGCGCCATCTTTACCAACTCTTTCCATCTGTTCGCGAAGGGTTGTCGAGGACATGGCTTGAGGTGGATCACTGTGTCGCTCAATTTCTTACGGGTCATGGTAACTTTAAGAGCAAGCTTTATTCATTTAAATTAGTCGAGTCACCATTGTGTCAATGCTCAACACCTAACTCTCACTATGAACAGTCTGCTCATCATATTCTCTGGGAATGTAGTCTTTGGTATAATGAACGTATCCTGAATAGCTTGCAGGTGACTTCGGGGCGGTATACTATGGGGATCTTGTGTCAACTAGGGTGAATTTCCGTGCGTTTAGGCGATCCTGCCATACATATTATAGAAATCAAATATAGCTCACGTAGGACCCGTAATATTTTGTGGCTGTGGTGCTTCCCTGTTTAAAAGGGTGTATGCCCATTTTACTTCATTTTGTCTCCCGCTTCGCTAAGGAGGGAGGGGGTTTACTGTATTTCCAACTCCTCCAATTTTCTTCTGATTAATTTCGTTGCGGGTTCCAAGACAGTTTAATTTCTTCCTGGGACTTCCCGAGTGTCATAACTCGGTGTGTTCGTGGGTCACTGCTGTGGATCCTGGTGTACAGGAGTTACAGTGGTGGGCGTGTGGGTGGGATTAGTCCCAATAAAAAAAAAATACTATTGTAACTATTGTGCGTTCCAAATTCCATCATTTGGCGCAAATATAATTGAAAGAACGTGGTTTCAATTCTACTTGTAATTTATGTTTTTTTTACTATGTGACACACATTAAACACATCCATTATAACAAAAACCTTTGTTACCTTAACCTTAACAAAAACCATTGTAACAAATATATGAAAATTCTATTAAGACTCATAAATGAAGATTTCTTAAAAATATTTCCTTATTTTCAATATTATAGATTCAAGGATAATTTCACCTCCGTGCAGGAGCATTATTGCCACCAGATGATAGTGATTACAAATTTCTACAAATTTATTTCCTAGGTAATTCTGAAGCTGAAGTAAACCAACGCTGTGCTATCAATCATTAATAAATCCCAAGGCCAATCGTTACAAGCGTGTGGAATAAACCTTGAATTATTCGCATTGGCACTTGTACGTTGCGTGCTCAAAAGTCAGTATTTCTTTTGTCTCCGAAATCAAAAATATTTTATTTTTACAAGGCATTGCAATAGGTTAAGGTCAAATTATTATTTTATTTTTATTTTATGGTCGTATTGGAAACAGGAGATTTTGTTTAATTTTTTGTCATTAACCACTTAACATGTAAAACATTGCCGCACTTTTTAATTTGATGGGTTAAACATTTTCGATAATCTAATATATGTCAATGTCAATATATGAAATTATTGATAATCTATCTTATTTGAATTTACTGGAAGTGTGACATTTTCTTAGTCCGCATCTGTACACCGTCGTGTGATGCCTATGCATAAATGCATAAATAGTAAAACAAGTCTGTCAGGAATTTCGAAAATATTCACGAAAACAAAAATATGGCGGTATGAAGTCCCCCGGGTCAGCTAGTAATGCATAAAATTATAAAACATCTTGCATATAAATATTTGTTTTTGTTAAGTGTAAATGGGTCCTTCTCAAAAAAGTGGCACTGCTCGAAGAAATTTATCAATCGAATTGAAAATGCATCAATAATTGAGTTTTTTTACAAAAATCCATTCTGAGTCTTTTATGTTAAATTGTTCAAAGGGTTTCACATAAATAGACAAAATACAGTGTTTCAAAAAAACTACTTTACAGGTTAAAAAAATATCGTTCGGGTTATTTAGAAAATGTTTCGAGATTAAAGAGAATCAAACAGGTTAATGAAAAAAAAAACAATGTAACTATGCAAAATCAGCTTTTATTATTATTAAGTGCAAATAATAATAGTTACATTAAGAAGAACGGATTACAATCGGAAAAGGATTTACATCTAAACAAAAACAAAAGTTCTCACCAAGATGTCGTCATACTAAACATTTCTGTCTCTTATTTATTCAGTCTCAAACAGTCAGTCAGTCAATTAAAATTATAATAACGTTAAACATAAAGGAACCTCTAAAGAGTAATGAATCTTTGGATTATTTACTTTTTGGTTCTGGAAACAATCAATACAACAACAATCAATACAATAGTGGCGACAGCAGCAGTTCTCATTGTTTTATTGCGTTTGGGCTTTGGTGTGCTGACTTCTTGTGTTATAACGTCATGGAACCCAAGGCGTATTGCGAACTTACAATATTTGGATTTGAACACCACTAAGACGTCTTAAAACGACAGATGCACTTCTCATATACCATACAATTTGATGAAGTTGCTACTTTCCTTTAAACGGCCGTAATGTATTGCGGAATAGCATGTATTTTTCAAAGATCTTATATTCGAAGATAGTATCTATTACGTTGTGTTTCACGTTTTGTTTTAACATTCATGAAAAACTTGCGAAGTCCTGTACGTCAGCGCCATGATTCACACATGCATCAGCAGTACTCTTTGGAACAGCTCCAACTCCATATGGAGCTCCCTTACCGTGGCCTGATTCAGAATGACTCCAAGTGACACATTTAATACACATACAGCTGCTGTCTTATATCATGTCTCAGATTTGGAGTAGTTAGTTATTTGTGCCTTACGAGTACTAGCACCATAATTCGCAGATAGAATTTCTTTCGAGTATGTACGCGCACCAATTGTTGTAAACTCACCTCAATATTTTCATTTCACACAAAACTTTTCCTTTTCTTTGTAAATGTAAAATATTTGTGCTTATTCTCAATTGAATATTGAGACACGTAATATAACTGAATGACTCGCTAATAGACTGCTTTGTTTTATTACCTCATACTTCAATAAAGAACCGTTTAAAAAAGAATAAAGAAGATTTCTTAGCGGGAGAGTTGTTTCAGCCACCTTGACCGGAGTAATAAATTAAATTAAGTTTGAAAATATGAAAAAAAAACTTACCAAGGTTCACTATGTTCCCACTCGATATAGTGAGATAAAAGAGTTGTTTCTGTTGAGACGGGGAATTCTATTTTGGGATATAAAACATCTACTTTAGGATTTATGCCAGCTTCATATATTCTGTAAATAAACATAATAAAGTTATATTTCTTTTATATAAATATTCACTTGACTACACACAATGATGGTTGGATGAGAAAAGAAGGAAACATTGCTTTTATAAAGCCTGTGGTTGTCCCTAAAATCTCTGAAATTAATGGTGATTCTAAAAATCGGGTGCCGTTTATTATACTATAGATATTTAAATCACTGAAAATAATTTGTAACGTCTATAGGATTTATTTTATCTTCATACATATCTAGTTAATACTCATTTGTAGTATTACCCTTAATGTTATATTTAACTGTACTAATGTTGTCAAGGGCACTTTGTAGGTTGATCTTAATTAAGTATCAAATAGTAAAATACAGATATACTCGTATAAAGATCTCTAGCATAATTTCGGAATTTGACAATGACAAAAAATGCTAGTAATTCTTGAGAACTAAAACATGACAAGTGTTTTTTTCGTTATTAACAGCAGCACTTGATAATAGTTTTTCTTAAATTTTGTAAAGATTTGGAGATTTCATTTTTTTTACCAATCCAACCCAAAGGCAGTAATTTCATAAATTGGACAGACCAGATAAAAAAGGATCACGGAATTCCTATCCGTGCCACACTTTACCAGCCTTTTTTTTTGGTGACAGGGTGGAAATCCTTTTGGGTCTCCGGCTCCTAGGGGACGCAAGAGTCAGGAGTATGTGGTGTCTCCACTAAAAACCATCCCAAAGGCCCTTCCTCCCTTACCGCAGTAATCAATCTGCTACCAGAGGTCCCTACTCTCTGGCAGCCTGCGGCCCCGTCGGCGGTTTTATCAGCTCTCTACGCTCGGGATCGGCCCTCCCCGACCCCGTTTAGCGGTCTCTTTCTAGAGCATTACAGTCTCACAGAAAGAGACCACTACGCCCCAGCCCTCGGGTCGATTAACAGAGCTCAACTAATGGAGGCTAGAAAACAAACGCAGTTGAAAAGCTCAGGATCCTCTGCAGTAAAAGATATATTAAGAAAACAAGAGTGTGGTTGTAGTTTTGAAACAAAGGATTCTTTGATCCTTAAAAAAGTTGTTATAATGGCAAGAAAATTTTAACATGGTAATGAACTGTAATACTTTCTCTTTTTACCATTTCTGAATAAAAAAATTAGTTCTGAGGATTTACCCCATACTTTTACGAACTCATAAAGTTCGAGTTTAACCTAGAATAGGCAGTTAAAGGGCTGCGGCATCCTAATAAATGTGTTTTTGTTTTTTTTCAAGAATAACTAAGGATAGAGATAGAGAGTAAAACTCATCTGGACATTAATTCATGCCCCAAGATGGTCTTGTTTGACTACAGCATGTGGTGATGTATAGAGTAAAATAATTTTGTGTTTGTAGCACTCAATGGGTCCCAAAAAGTGTTTGTGCAACATGGATATTTCACATGAAGTCACATAGCTAGATAAAAATGAGGATTAGTTAAACACAATAGCAGAAGAACTTATAAGAATCTCCATCAATGTACATGGCACCACTTATTTACAACGCATTACCTGAAAAATGCGGTAGGGAATGGAATGGCCGGCCTGATTGCATTAAGATGCGATCGGGCTGCCATGCCGTGATTGAAGGGGGAAGTGTTCTACCCTGGGATAGGGCCTGATTAGGCATGGTGTCAATTCGGGGAGGACCTGAAATAACATGGTCCGGGTCCTCCGGTGGTTTTTAGTGGAATCACCACATACTCCTGGCTCCTGAGTCCCCGAGGAGCCGGAGATCCGAAGGGATTTGCCACCCCGTCAACAAAAAAAAAAAAAAAAAAAAAAAAAATTACCTGAAAAATTGTGAACTTTCCATATCATAAATTTTGTGTTGAACTAAAGAAATTGCTAATTGAACAGTGCTTTTATTTTGTCCTTATTAACAACTACAGACTTAAATTGTCTGTTGTTGCTTATTTTTTTATTATTAATAATCTTAGTACTAAATATTTGCATGTTATTTAATAGCGAAATGTATCTTGTTCACATTTTATGCCAATAAAATTTTAACTAGTACTATCGAAAAGTGGGAAAACATTTTTCAGGAACCACTAAATTACTTAGTCAGGATAATGAAACATACAGTAAAACGATACAGGCAATTGCTCACAAAACAAATTATTATTGTTTACCAGAAAAAAATGAAACTTAATTTCTTACACTTCACTAATTACTCTCTTTTTTAAAAGGCAAATATGACGATAGTTAAACTTACTTGCCAATTGCCTCCAGGAAAAATTGCACTCCATTTGGACTACCTCGCTTAGTAAGAGGTATATGTGTACAGTTTTTATGCGATCTCTTCAAGATCGCTTGCAATAAACCGTGAGGAGCTATTTCCACTACTACAGCATTGTCTGGGATAAGGTTTGTCATTTCTTCAAACAGTACTGGATTCTGTAGATGACCGATTTAGTTTATGAAAAGTATTAATGCTTTATGTAGCGTGTTATGAGTAAGAGAAATACAGATATTGCGTACCTATAAACTAAAGAGATCGAATTATTTATTTTCATCAGATTTATTTTTTTAAAACAGAAGTTGTATCAAACTCAATTGTAAAATCCAGGAATTAAAATTAGTATTTCTTAGACTACGAAAATTGGTTTACAACAGTAACTATTATTTCAAAAACATTAAATGTGAATTCTAACCAACATGTTGTTACTGTGATATTCAGCCGATGAATACATTGCAGCGGGCTCGTTCCATCGTTCTTGAGGTACAGATGTTGATATCCACTTACTGCTACGTTTCTTTGGATTTTTGATTATTTTATTTAACCTCCTGAGGAACTCAGATCCTAGTGAAAAATTGGAAGTGTGTCAGTAGAATGTGGATATATGGGGCATTACATTGTTTATTTTTTCATGTTCAATACTCATTTAAGTTAACTTTATTTCGCATTTGAGCTTAAAATATTGTTTTATTAACTGCTATAAAATCAAAAAAGTCCTTACCACAGTGAGCAATATACCGAGAATGATATGCGATACCACCACTTGGAACCTCTCTTGCGAAAATGCCACGATCATTCAGATCCTTCATAAACTTCCTCATTATATCAGCTGGCCCTGATAGAGTTGTTGATTCCGAACTATTATGACAAGCAATATCAATCTCTGGTGGGCATATATCTAACATCTGCAAAATTACCATTTCTGTTAATTGTCACTCCTGTTTAAACATTAAGGAAAAGGTATGACTCAACGGCAGTTTATTTATCAATTCTAGTTTTTCAAGTCTTTGTTGTCTTTTATCGTCTAAAGTTTATTGATATTTACGCACCTGTTTATAACCCAAACCTACTGCAACCATCAAACCTTCTATTTGTAGATTTTCTTTGATGGCTTGTGAACGACAATATGTTGCTAAAATCATCTCTTCAGCCGTGAATGTATCATCATGATATGCACATCCTATTTCTCCTAAACTGTGTCCTGTATTATTAAAAAAATGGAAACCTTTATGAAATATATTTGTATTTATAATAGTATTACATTTTTTGATAATAAATTAAGAGAAAATTGATGAAAATATGTGAGGCGTTTAACTTTAATAAACAAAAATTATGATTATTTTTTAACACTCGTTTATTAGCTTAGCATGTATGTATTTATGTATATAATGGAATCTTTAACCGTGGTTTTGATTAACTTCCAAGCGTCGAAATAACTTGAAACTTCGCACACTTATCAAGGATCGATAACAATACAATAATTTGGTAAATTTCGCCGATTATCCTGATCGGATATCTTCAGGATTAACGGCTTTTTCCATACCTAAAAATACGGTAGTGTTTTTGCTACGTACTAAAAGGCTAGCGCTAAAGCATACGTGGCTTACTTTCTTGTTACTTTTTTAGTCTTAATGGGAAAATAAGCATCATTAATAAATTAAAAAAGCACAAATAAATTATAGCTTAAAAAACTAAAAAACACGCTTTTGTAACTGGCTTACCTAAAAAGTATAAAATATTATTTGCTAAATTCAAAAACAAAAATCATTTTATCGTAAAAAAGCTAGGGAGCTACACAAACATAAAATATACTCTACTTCAAGATAGGTGCCTCATTAGTGTACAGTATAACTTACCAATTATTGAATCAGGAACAATACCCATTTTTTTCATCAAATCGGTAAATGCCAGTTGCATGGCACTGATACCAACGAAAGCATTGGAAATGTCATTTTCAAATATAGATTTATCTGGATCTGTCATTATTTTGATAAGATCTACTCCTTTCGGTTCCAACACTTTGTGGCACCTGTGAAAAGATTAATAAATAAAAAATAAAAATTTTTGCAAGACAAGAGCTAAGATTTTGACATCCCTTCGGCGACACACACCGAAACTAAACTTAACGTTATAGAATGTTAAACTTATCTTAGCCTATACCAACTTTAGCTTCCTCAAAAGTAATTAAACATTATCTTCTAAAATCTTTTGGCGAATCACCCAAGTATTTGACCTTAATCGCTTTTCCAAGGTTACAAACTATTAACAAAGGCAATCTATCATAATGTCTTAAAAGCTTCTGCTTGATCTCTTGAAAATATATTTGAAATTTTAGATTAAAGAATTTGTATCGTTCACCATTTGTTCCTTAATGAGGAATCTAGCTAACCAAGGGTTAAGTTTTAGCATATTATTGATTTATGGTTCAACAGATGTCTTGCTAATTGGTTATTTTTTATTTTAATTTAAAGTCAAATTTTGAGGAAACACCGCTTGCTCTGATTTAATACTACTAAACATAAACTTACTTATTTATAATAACAAAATAATAAATCTAATTGAGTGATTTAAAAATTAATTTATTTTATTTATCTGGAAGGAGCACTTATGTTACTGCCGGATTCGCCAGAAAAAATACATTTTACTAACTGGAAAATATTTAAAGTCGAGTATTTTAGATGGGATTCTAATTTTAATTGTTTCAGTGATGTGGGACATTTCATGGTTAATAATTGATTGAAACTAAAAAAAACAAAATAAGTTAAGGAACTCCCTGACGTTTTAAGCCAACTATTTTGAAAAGCAAAAGCCCTTACGTCAGAAAAATAGTTCTAGCTTGCGATACCATCAGAGCTGTATACTACGTGGAGCATACTGAAAGTCCCTGGATCTGGCCACTTACAATAAAAGAATTGGCATTTGGTGATGAAGCATATGTCGCAGTTCTGTGTATTCGTGATTTGGAGAATTTCGACGTGGACGTGATCATCTCCAAGACGAGGTACGTGAAGGTCGGCCGGTGACTGCGGTTACAGACTCTAATATTGATACCGTATGACAACTTATTGAAACTGACAAAAAAATTACGTGCCAGCCAATTCGTGAGCCAAGTGTAAAACATTTTACATGTGCATCTGAAGGTTCGGAATGGCACTCGATGGATACCACATGGCTTAACGGAGGACCAGAAACGACTGCGTGTGTGGTGCCGTAAAATTATAAAAAGTTTAACGGAGGACGGTCATTGGCTGTCTATAATATCGTGATAGGTGACGAAACCTAGGTGTATTACTTTGAACCAAAATGAAGAAGCCAGTAAGCAGAGTAGGTCTTTCCTTTTGATGATTTACCGACGAAAGTTAAGAAAAGTCGAAGCATTGGTAAAAAAAAGGGTTTCTTCTTTTTTCAGCAAATCAGGACATTACACTACAGTATCGCTTGAAGATCAAAAGATAGTAAATGCAGATTGGTACGTCAACACTTGCTTGCCCAGAGTCTTAGAAAAAGTTAGCCAAAAGCGTCCTCGAAGCAATGTCCTCCTTTACCACGATAACACATCCTAAGATTCCGCTAAGGTAACAGAAGCCTATTTGAAGACTTAAACTTGGAACTGATGACGCATCCGGCTTACCGCCCGGAGGTAGCACTCTGCGACTTCTTTTTATTTCCAGAAATTAAAGACAAACATAGGCACACGTTTTATGAGCCCTGAATCAGCGGTGAATGCGTTCCATAAAGCCATTGACGAGTTCCGGAAGGAAGATAGGTCCAACTGCTATGTGCAGCGGTTTCAGCGAATGCAAAAGTGCATTAATTGCGAGGGAGTATACTTTGAAAAACAATAAATATATCGTAAGTCTTATATCTAGTCTTATTTATCAGAATCCAGAAACTTTCAGTATGCCCTAAGTAAAATTGTGGAATAAAATTTACTTACTTGTAAATAGAGGCAGCAAAAGAAGGTATCCTCATCAGATCAGCTCCCATTGTTGGCCATTGTGATCCCATACCACTGAATACGAACCACAGTGGTCTTTTGATTCCAGGATAATATTCTAGACTTTCGGACAGACATACTGTATTTTGCTGTACATCAGTATCTAGGGAATCAAAATTTTTTTGTTATTCAGTTTCTAAGGAAAAGTATTTTATGCTTATAAAAATAACATATTTGACTTTTCGTTCACTCTAACTGTCATCGTTGTATTTCGGAAAACTTCTAGTTTGATCGGAATAAGTAAAACAATCAGCTTTTATATGACACAGTAATAAAATTTCAGAAGTTTATATCGAGTCTATATATTTTTAAAAAAATAACAGAGTATATATCTAGGTTTAAAATTATTTCGCCTAAATCTGAAAAAAATATCATTAAATTTAACATTTTAAATACCATCATCCTCCAATCTCGATAAAAACATTTAGTTTTAATTGTTTTCATGTTGTTATCTTCAAATCAACACAGTTAAAATGAATTATTAGTCAAAAAAGAATAGCGAATTAATATTTACAAGTATTTTTACAATTCACGAGTTCACAACTAAATCATTGTTAAGACAAAACGAAAATAATAAACAATAAAACAGAAATAATGAAGCCACTTCATTTCCAAGCTGACTGTTAAAGACTAATGGACGCAATTTGTACTCATTAAGATCCCTGAGAATTTCTGACGTCCTTCAAAATATTAATTAAAATTAATTATCGCAAAAAATACCTTTAAATTACTTACATCAAAAGTAAAGTTATTTATAATCATGATTATAAAACTCATAAATCACAACATTTTACATCGTGGCTTTGCAGTGAGTGGTAATCTCTAAATTATTATTTTTTTTGCTGATGGTGTAGAAGATCCTTCTTGGTCTCCGGATCCATAGGGACACAGGAGTTAGGAGAATGTGGTGTTGCTATTAAAAATCATCCAGACGGGCAACCCCACGTGTCCTTCTCTTCAGGGAACCCGAACCATGTTACTTCAGGTCCTCCCGAATCGACGCTGCGCCTAACCATGCCCTATTCCGGGGAAAACTGCAAGCTTCCCCTTGCCAGTCGGTCCAATAACACTGTTGTAGCCTGGTCATGTCTTCATGCGATCACTCTATCTTATATCGCAGCATTTAATCTGCTACTAGAGGTTTCCACTCTCTGAAAGCCCAGCCGCGACCCCGTTGGCATCGTTGAAACTGTTTTTTTGTAACTACCCACTGCAAACTGTTTTGCCAACGACTTTAATTGCCAAACCAAACCAAAACTGAATGTAATATATAGAAAACTCAAAAAATTGGTCTAGTTCGTTCTAGAAAGGTCAAAAGATAATTAATGTGAGATAAGTTATAGTGACTTACCTAGCAACATATAACCTCGTCCAGTGTGACTTCGAATTTCATGTTCAAACACTTTATGAAGAAGCCCTATTTCTTCAGGATCTATAGGATGACTTTTCACCATATCAATAATTTTTTGTACACAAGTTTCTTGTCTTCCAGACGCAAGAACAAGGTAAGGAATATTGCACTTGTATTTTTGTAAGTTCTGTCACAGAAATAATTAAAATTATTAATGGGAAATGTGAACATAGCTATGACTAAATGTTTAAAAATGTTAATTTAACAAATAAATATTTGGATATTTCGAATGTTTGCACCCCATCTTGCTCAGCATTTCTGTCTTAGTTCTCTCCCTCCCATGCCTCGTATGTTATCTTTTGTGACATCATCACTTGAGTTTTCCAAAAAATTTATCACTTAAAAACATTAAGTTCTTGCAATGTAGCCTGACCTCATTAGTGAAGTAATGAATAAATTCCCTGTTATTTTAACTAAATTTCTTTTTAGTACCTGTTCCCACACATAAATAAAAAGTTTTTAAATAAGAAGTAGTAGTATACCTTTTGTTTATAATGCCCCTTCAAAACGACATGATATTGAGCTCCAGTGTAAGAAAAGTTATTCACCGCCGTAAATTCTCTATCAAATCCTGTGTGTTCTGATACTACTTGAATTCTCCCGTTACGGATGGCAGGAATATGATCCTGAGGGTCGTTATAGTGCAAATTTGCAGGTAATTTCCCTTTGTGATACGCAAGACAGAGCTAGAATAAAATGTTGTTCCAAGACATTATTTATTGAAAAACATTTGTATTTAAATTTGATAATTCCTAAATGCGTCATATTAATTACACATGTTCACTATAAAATTAGTATTGCAAGTTGGCAAAATTATTACTTACAAATGTAGTTAAAAACTATGTCTAAAATTATTTTTAGGCATAGTTTTTTTTTTCAATTATATTTAATATAATAACTACCCGCATTTTTTGTTTACTCTGACACATCTCACACACAGCCGTCTGATTCCAAACTAGGCAGAGCCTGTACTATGGTATCCAGACTGCTGATAAACATACATATTTAGTTTTAAATACATACATATTTAGATAAATTATACCCAGACAAATGATCGTGCTCATCACACGATATTTGTCCTGGGTGGGAATCGAACCCACGACCTCCGACTGAGCAGTCACGGTCACTCACCGCTAGACCAACAATAATGCTCACACATTTCCTTCACGGATATCCTCATATTTTTTAACTTTAACTTTCATTGCGCTTGTTGAAAGTACTTAAAATTTATTGTTTTATAGTTTTACTAGCTGACCCAGAAAACGTTGTTTTGCCAAAAAAATTTAGTTAAGAAATTTAGTTTAAAAATTTAGTTTGAAAATTTAATTTAATTTAGAGGTGGGTCACCCTTATCATTTAGGGGTATGAAAAATAGATGTTGGCCGAATCTCAGACCTACCCGATATGCACACAAAAGCCAGCCAAAAGTCCAGCCGTTTCGGAGGAGTTTGGTAACAAACACCGTGACACGATAATTTTATATTTTAGATTTTAAAAGATAGAAATACACTTTGTAAAGATTACCTTTGTAATTGAGCATATTCCCGAAGCAGGTTCACTGTTACCCATATTAGACTTAACACTTCCAACTTTAACAGACCCATCTTTTGCGAAAATATTAGATATCGCTTTTAATTCACTTTCATCTGCTTTTGCTGTCGCTGCAAAATTAATTGTTTAGTTTATATATATTAATTTTTTTGATAAGAGTGTTTTTATACACACATGGGACATGTTCTGTAGTTTATCTTTAATAAATTTGAACACAATTAAAAGTAATAGTAATAGCAAATGTAATTTATGATTGTTTTTAGGCAAGTCTATTTTTAAGCGTCATACATACTTATCTTACGCTTAAAAATAGACTAAAATTAAAAACAAAAACACAAGATATTACTTTATATTTATATCTTGTGTTTTTGTTTTTAATCTGTCTCGTCCATAACTCTAATCGCAATAATATTTACCTGCGCCATCAGCTTCGACATATTCAACTTTATTAGGATCCACATCAATTCTTGAATAAACTTCTCTTAAAAATTCTTCAATGTCTTTAGGTTCTCGCGTTGCCAAGAAATGTGCATCGGGTTTCATTTTGTAGCTACCTTTAACGTGATATATTTCCGCATATACTCTAAAGAAGAAAAAACCCAAATGAATTGTTACCGCTAACTTATTTTAGAATAATAACAATGCGGCAATATAAAATTTTAAAATGTTTTTAAATAAGTATAACTCAAAGAAATCGAATTCCATCAAAAAAGTAGGTCACAAGATTATCTCTCGAAGTCTTAAAATGAAACTACCTTAATTCTGAGGACAAAGACTATAAGTATCGAAATACTGTAAAAGTGCATGAAAACGATAAACCCGGTACTGTTTTTGTTGTAAAATCGATCATGTTTACGGATATTAAAAGGATATAAATTGCTGTTAATCTATAAAATTCGATAAAATAGAAATAGCCACTACATTTTTCATATCTACTATGAGATGTTTATTCGTTTTGTTTTTATTTATTCTTACGTACACAATATAAATATTACAACAGAAAGGCGAACTTAACCTATAATTGAGTTCTCTTCCAGCAAACGTAAGAGTGAAGAGAGGATAGCACAACAAGAAAGAGTCGTGTGTACAGAGAAATTTAAGAAAATAGAAATATACAACTGAATTTATACAGAAATAGAAATGTAAACAAAATAACTAAATATCATGCAAATAAACTATAATTTAACATAAGTTTACACATTACATTACACTAACAATCATATGTAGCATTTATGTACCTAATATCTACATACATACCTATATTGGTCTCTGATAAGAAAGGAAAAATTCCCTGATTCTCCTCTTAAAAACACTTAAGGATGGGGGGCTATCGGTATTGAGTGGGGAAGAGAATTCCACAGTCGCACCGCAGACACAGTGAAAGACTTGTCATAGCGGGTTGAACTATGAGGAGTTCGGCGGAGAAGAGAAGATGAGGTGCTTCAAGGTCTACTTCTGGGGACAAGATAGTTAAAGCGCTCACTCATATATACAGGATAGATAGGGTTTTGAAGAGCCGAATACAGTAAAGAAAGTATATGAACATCTTGACGTCCTTGAATGTGTAACCACTTGAGTTGCTTGCGGAATTCTGATTCATGATCATACTTTCTTAGACCAAATATAAAGCGAATGCACAAATTCTGCAATCACTGAAGCTTATCCCAAAGCTCTTCAGTAGCGTCAAGAAAGGAGACATCAGCATAGTCTAAAATGGGAAGGAGAAGGGATTGTAAAAGACAAATTTTAGTTTGAGATGGAAGGAAGCCGCTTTATTGAATTATAGGTACTGAAGTTTTTTTTACTTAATTCAGATACATGTGTAGTCCATATCATGAAACTGTCAATGTAAACTCTGAGATTTTTCACAGAAGATGAGCAAGGAATGAACATGATGTTGTGAGGATCCAATGATTATATGCTAATACTGTGATATTATTATAAAAGAAGAGACCTATATCCAGCAGTGGACTTTTAAAGGCTGTTGATGTGTGACTGTGATATTGGAAAAAGTTTGAATAAATCTATTTATATAAAAATGTTAAGTTGATTTGTGTACGCTAAAAAAACTGACAATCAAAAACAACAATCTCTGACAACTTGGACGTACGAAGGCACAAATTAAATAAAACTAACCCATACATAGCATTCGGTCTCTTCACATTTCATTTTATTATTTTAATTATACCTTTATTTCCGGACTAATTTGTAAAAGAGTTGTCTTTGAAGGGTACATCATCAACAACCTTTAATAGTCCACTGCTGGACATAAGCCTCTCCTTAGAAAGGAGGTTTTGGCCTACTATATCACGCTGGCCAGACGGGTTTGTATAGGGTTTGTGTCAAGTTTTCCTTCTCTCTGCAGTGTTGTTGTTCTGCGTAGTTTTTTCCCTTAGTTGACTCTTACAACACCCACGGGATGAACAGGGGTGGTGGCTATCTGTATTCTTAATCCGTCACCACACGGACTTTGAAGGGTACACATAAAGGTATTTATTTCTCTCGTAGTGTGAAAGCCAGACAATGAAAGCATTATACCAGTAACTTAAGGTGAAGTAAATCCTGAGCTAATAACTATTTTTGGCTCGAACAGACTCAACGGACTCAAATTTTATTTGTAAATCGGTATTTGGTGCAAATACATGAGAGAACCGAATAAATATGTTTTCTTATCTTCTTTTCATCTCTTTTTTAATTATTTGCTTGATAGTTTACTTTTCAGCTGTTTATTTTTTAATATCTATCATTTGAGATATTCAGCAATCGCAGTGTATGTTGCTATGACTTGTACGGATTTCGTCTATCAACTCATCCGTTGCCCTCTGTTTCTTAATCATATGAAGTCTTGAGGAAGCCTTTTCTTTAGCCTTCTAGTGGCTGTCTGTGTATTCCTTAGGCTAACTGCTAGTGAGTTTGGATGTTTGCTTATCCGGTCCTTGTAAGTCCTAGTCCTTTTAGATACATTCTTCATTTTTTTTTACAGTGGTGATACCGAGGTCGTTGTGTAGATTGTAATTTGCTACATACCAGGATGCATGTCCGTACTTCTATTTTAATTTGATCAAAGTATTGTACTTTCAGAAGTGCTGTTATGCGAAAAAGCTTGTTAATTATTTGAGCGACTGCTTAAACGCAAGAGAATTAAGTTTTTAGAAGATACAAGAAAAGATACATTTGGAAATATATGTATTACACTTCTCAAGTTAAATAAAACCTGTAGAGTAATTTTCTGCATACGAGTGCAAGCTTATACGGATCTAATTATGACACTTTCTGGTTATTTATTGTAGTACTTATAGTCTAAGAGCCCGTGAACCCCAGACCTTCGTTATTTTATAAAAGCTGAAAGTTTGTCAGCGCATGCTCCCAACACAGGTAAGAACGATGGACCATTATGAAGTTTGGGTTACCGTGGCTTCGGCAGGTAAACGGTACTAAAGGTGTGTAAAATACCGATCTAAATTCATCAAATAATAAAGTGTGATTTTTTGGTATTACCTTTAGAATATTATTAAAAATCACTTTATTGCATGCCAGACACTTCACATCGTGGCAACCCCTTGCCAGACACCCTTAATGTTCATAAAATTATAATTCTACTTATGTTATAGTATAAAAGCTGATTTTTATATATAATACTTAGGTAATAATTAGATGATGTTTCCTCATTAGCCAGACATTTTTGATAGTTCCAACCCCTTGCCAGACAAGCATGTAAATCTTAAGAAGACATGCAAATAAACTTTTTGCCACAGATTTATATAACTAATAATCTGTGTAAATTTTAAAAACATGTTAAGAAAAGACATTCGATGATACAACTATCTTAAACTGTTAAAAATTTCAGTTTATTCTGTCAATGACAGATTATAATAATATAAAAAGCCAAATAAAATAACACTCAAAACTTTAATTAAAAATAGATTAATGACATTACAAGTTATTATAAAGTATCATTTTCTTCGTCACTGTTACTCCATTCGATATCGTCGTCTTCTTCTTCGTAAGTTTCTGTAGAAATATGAAAAAGTTAATGGGATTGAAAATATTAAAAAATAATGTATAATGGTTTGAAGTAGTATTTATACCTGAGACAGTTTTCAGTGATTCTCTGACGAAATTTGGCAACTGATCACCTTCGAACCATTTAAAATGGTACTGATTATCTTCGAGAACCCAACCATTATTCTCGGGTTGATAAATTGTTGGAATTTGCTGATTTGCATTATTCCAAATGCTAGACACATAGTTGGCTCGCAGAAATTGTTGTAGCAGCTCGGATTTACACGGTGGCAGACTGCTAGCATCAAAATTTCGTAGTTTTTTACGGCTAAACGCTTCATTAATATCTGAGACCTGATATGTCTTAATGAATAGTTGAAGCCGTGCTGCATCAACATCAGTTATCGAACCGACATTGTATACCTCACATATAAACCGTTGAATAATATCAAAAGTGCTTTGTTGTTCATTATTATTTTCGAATAATTCGTGTTTACCAAATTTAATGAAAGCTTTTTGATACTCTTCCGTTTTTTTTTAATATTTTAAAAGGCCTCAACTTTGCTTTTCGGAAAAATGCAGGATTATATACAACCTGTGATCGCATGGAATCCTGGTAAGCTCTTGCAAAAAGATTTTCCTAACTTTACGTAAATATCTGTGAGATTTACGTATCTCAAGTTATTCCCAGTGCCTATCAACATCCAAATAAGTGAATCATTTTGTAGATGGTGCATATGACCAAGCATGATAGCTGCAATGTCAGTGTCGACACTTCTGATCACAATATTTACTTGATTTGGAATACTGCACGCATGATAGACTATTTTAGTATCAGCCTCTTCATGTTTTGGAAATGATAACTCTTCTACAACCCTTGTTACTACATTGTTAGAAGCATTAACAACAAAAGAATGGCACTGTTTAGAATTTATGTGAATAGTTTTATTTCCAATAAAAGGTATTATTTCATCACTGGCCCAATGCAAAATCCAAAAATCCAACAGAGCTTGTATAAAATTTGAATTTTTCAATTCTTTATCAAAATCACTCGGACTTGTTTGATCAGGTCCAGTTATGGTGTAGCTCAATTGTGCTGATTCTAATCGCTGAGAATGTTTGTAATCTTTGATCGATGGAGTCAGGTATTGATCAAAAATAACGTCAATTCTTAGCGCTTCGAACTTAGTGACCATTTGCAACATTTTCTTAGAAATGCCTCCAAACTTGTTTGGAATATTTCTCATGGTGTGTAATAAAAAAAAACCCATCAATTATTACGACATCTACAATAGGTGGTGGCTGATGCTGGACCTCCTTCTCCAAACACTTCATTAACGCAGATTTACCCGAGAATAATGGTTGGGTTCTCGAAGATAATCAGTACCATTTTAAATGGTTCGAAGGTGATCAGTTGCCAAATTTCGTCAGAGAATCACTGAAAACTGTCTCAGGTATAAATACTACTTCAAACCATTATACATTATTTTTTAATATTTTCAATCCCATTAACTTTTTCATATTTCTACAGAAACTGACGAAGAAGAAGACGACGATATCGAATGGAGTAACAGTGACGAAGAAAATGATACTTTATAATAACTTGTAATGTCATTAATCTATTTTTAATTAAATTTTTGAGTGTTATTTTATTTGGTTTTTTATATTTATAATCTGTCATTGACAGAATAAATTGAAATTTTTAACAATTTAAGATAGTTGTAGCATCGAATGTCTTTTCTCAAGATGTTTTTAAAATTTACACAGATTATTAGTTATATAAATCTGTGCCAAAAAGTTTATTTGCATGTCTTCTTAAGATTTACATGCTTGTCTGGCAAGGGGTTGGAACTATCAAAAATGTCTGGCTAATGAGATAACATCATCTAATTATTACCTAAGTATTATATATAAAAATCAGCTTTTATACTATAACATAAGTAGAATTATAATTTTATGAACATTAAGGGTGTCTGGCAAGGGGTTGCCACGATGTTAAGTGTCTGGCATGCAATAACGTGATTTTTAATAATATTCTGAAGGTAATACCAAAAAATCACACTTTATTATTTGATGAATTTAGATCGGTATTTTACACACCTTTAGTACCGTTTATCTGCCGAAGCCACTATAACCCAAACTTCATAATGCTCCATCGTTCTTACCTGTGTTGGGAATATGCGCTGCCAAACTTTCAGCTTTTATAAAATAACGAAGGTCTGGGGTTCACGGGCTCTTGCTCTATTACTTGAATAGACTTACCATGAAAAAATTAATCAATCTTTCAGGAAAAGTTTTATTCAGCGCATTTATAAGTGTAATATCGATTGTTCCAAAGCAAGATTACTGAAAATAATCTTACCTATGCGCATCTCTAGCTCTCTGTAAAAAGATAACATTTACAGCATCAGCCCTCACGTATCCATCAGCATTTTTATCAAAACACTTTGTCTTGCCATCCAAACACAATAGGCCACATCTACAAAAAGAAAAAGAATGGATGGTTGAGTCTGCATTCCATTAAATATCAATACTTTTGCAACACTTTTATCAAAATGTTATTATTTTATTTAGTAATCAATGAAATTTCAAGAATGTATTATTTATTTACAAAGCAAAAGCACCAAATAAAAATAAAATAGGAAAAGCCCCTATATAACTAAGGCAGGCGAAACAAAATTGTAGCCACTGTGTGCATATGCACTCGTACCACGTGATAACTAATGAAAAAGTGATACGTAGTAAAACTTAGTTAGTTTGTTTGTAGTATTACGTGATGAATAATCGTCCAATAAAAAGTGACGAACAGATTTGTATTTAAACATTTCCTTGACAATCACAGTTGCACACCAACAAAAAATCGTTTTCTATTTGCATAGTGTTAAAAAACATAATTGAGGTACAAATGTGTATCCAAAGTGATTTTGAAAATATTTGCAAATGGGCACACGACAGTGGAATTATATTAAATCTTGCAAAAACTAAATGTATGCATATACACTCACCGTATAATCGAAATGCTAAATCTGTAAACAATGAATACCTCACAGTGATGGGATATTATACATACATACATACATACGAATGTTTGCATATTAATAAATGTAATTGTAATTGTAAAAAACTGGAGTATGTAGATAAATTTAAATATTTAGGGCTAACAATAGATAAGAACTTTAACTGGAGATTACATGTAAATGACATTTGCAATAGGCTAAGATCGGTGCTTAGTAAGTTTTACCAATTAAAAAATGTATTGAACAAACAGACGCTAAGAACAGTCTATTTCGCACTTGCTGACTCGCTACTAAGTTATGGACTCCTTGTATACGGTCGAACCTTCATTACATATTTAAGAGATATAAAAGACATACAAAAAAGACTGATCAAATTTCTAGTGGGTAAAAATATTAAAGACAAGTGCAACAAAGATTATGATAAGTTATTTCCCATTTGTAAAATTATACCCATAGATAAAAAGGTAGATTATTTGATAGGTCTGGTATTAATTTAAGTACGAATATAAAGTTAATGTTAAAAACAAGTACAACTCACGTAGGGTTAGAGAGAACAAACTGGCTCAACCATGGATAACAAATTATTATGGTAAAAGAACATCTAAGTATTTAGTACCTAAAGTGTTTAACAAAATAGATTTATTAAGAGAAAAAGTAAAAATCAGTAAAGGGTCACTTAAGACAAAATTAAAAACCATTATACAGGATTGCGACTAGAAATAAATAAGTGTTCATTATAGTAAATTAAACCAAATAAATAAAAAAAAAATATATAAGTGGTGTTAGTATTTAATTATAATAATAATATATAATAATAATATATTTTACCACATACACACAACGCCATCTAGTCCCAAACTAAGCAGAGCTTGTACTATAATAATAATAATAATAATATTGTACCACATACACACAACGCCATCTAGTCCCAAACTAAGCAGAGCTTGTACTATGGGTACTAGACAACTGATATAAATACATATATACTTTTTTTTTGTAAATACATACATATGATACATAGAAACATACATATTATTCTTACTTACAAGGGTGGTACTAAAGTAATAACAAAATATCATGTGTTTATATGCATATTACTATATTATGTACTATTGTGTCCAATATTAAGTGAATATGGGGTGAATCATGGTTATGTGAGAGAGCGCTTCTCGCCTTCAAACGTAAAAGTTTTGGCGAGTTTAGAATTAAGTAACCTATGTACTATAATGTAATTATCAGAATAAAAAAAAAAAAAAACATCTAAAGTTATTGTTTATTAAAATTTTATATGACAACACTAAATTTGTTATGAAATCATAATCGCATTATAGTTCTTCCATATAGAAAAAGTACTGCGCCTCTCTAAAATGCATAATTTAACCGTATCTTCAATAAATAATGAAATTAAATAATAGTTCTTCATTAAATTTTAACCATGGCAGATCATTGGCACTAAATCATTTTCCAGTCAACTCCAACTAAAAAATTATAAGGATTTTTTAAGTACCTTCTCATGTTCAAGGACAAAGTGGGATGAAGTATATAATTACATCCTCCAACTATGGCTGCGTCACATTCTCCTGATTTGATAGATTGATAAGCCACTTCTAAACAAGCTGTTGAGCTGGTATCAGAATGATCTAATGTATATGAAGGTCCTTTGCCATCGATCCAGTAAGAAATTCTATTAGCTAACATAGATTTGCTGCCACTAAAATTTAAAAGAGGAATTGAGTTATTTTTAGTTTTTGATGAAAACCAAGAGAAACCCTTAATAATTATCAAATAAAATCATTAAAATAAGTTTAAGTTAAGTACCAATCATCATCAACAGCCTTTTACAGTCCACTGCTGGACATAGGCCTCTCCTTAGAGAGGAGGTTTTGGCCTACTATACCACGCTGGCCAGACGGGTTGGTATAGGGTTTGTGTCAAGTTTGCCTTCTCTCTGCAATGCTGTTGTTCTGCGCAGTTTTTTCCCTTAGTCGGCTCTTAATCCGTCACCACACACAAGTACCAACGATAAATGATAAAAATATAATTATGCTAAACTCTTTAAAACTTTTTGATCCAGAACTGGCGTTAGTGAAATGTTTTTGCTACTCAACGAAAATCCACGTGAAGACTTACCCATTAACGACAAAATCGTTGCGCTTTTTGATGGCGAAGAAAGACAAATTACTATTGTCGGTAAACGATGATCCAATGAAGACTCCAACTTTTTTACCTCTAATAGATTGAGGGCTTGTACCTAAAGGTAGAAAATATTTCCAAAATTCATCGAGGAATTAGATTATATTTTAAATGCATGACGTGACATTCTATTTCATTGACATTTGCTATTCTAATTTTGTTAAATATTTCAATACGCTATTTTTGTGATAATGTAACTATTTTATGCTAATTCATGTAAAATACTGAACATGGAAATATGCTATTATATAAACATATTTAGTTAAATTTAGTTTTTGTACATTAACTTTATATATTTCACGTCTGTTTAAAAAATAACAGCAATGTAAAATACCTGAATCAAAAATAGCTCCATATGTATGTTCTAGAAGTTTCCTTCCCATTGGTTCCAAAACGCATGCCAAATGATATGTGACTCCAAAGAATTGTGAATCAAACTTATCCATTCCTTTTATTTTACCTACGTGTTTAGGAATATCTGGATCATTACGTATCCATTTGGGTTCTTCGTTGGTGACCATATCAACCTATATCATAATGTAACAACTATTAAACGTAATCTGCAGTTTTTCACTATTTACTTTGTATAGTTTCCAGAAAAAACACAACACTTAAATTCAAAGCACAAAACCAAATTGTATTTTTTTGTATGTAGTTTTAACTACTAATTTAAATCTCAAAATATTCACTTACTGAACGCTAAAGCGTTAAATTTAAAAACATTAAATTACATTCTAACCTTATTATAAAGATTGTTCATGAACTCCACAACACTATCAGAATTCGGGAAAATGCCCGAAATACCACTGATAACCACTTCATCTCCATGTAGAGAATTTGGAACACCGTTCAGAGTTTCATTATTACTATCAGAGGGAGCCATTTTGACGACATATAGCAATATTTTGCCTCTACGAAGTTAGACGTATAACTCATTAATACAATTCTAACAAAATGCTATTTATACCGAGGTCTTTTGATATGTAAATATTTTTAGAGATCCCTGCTATGATGTTATTTTTTATACTATTTATACTGTTGACTGATGGCACTTGGTGGAACTTGCTACACATATTGGATTAGGCCAGTTGTACAGTTTTTTTTTTTATTAAACCTGACCGGTTTCGCCTCATGACATTTCCAAAGGGTATAATGAAAACCGTAAAAGTGGCTTAATTCAATTTTAGTTTTATATTTCGCTGATTAGATCGGATAGATTTATAAGAGCCAATTTGTAATGTGGTTTTCTTGTTCAACTAGTTCATTGAAAACAATGAAATATCAGTCTGAATTGCGTGGGCTGATATTTTTTTTCTGATAAGATTCCGGGGTTGGTAGGTATTTTTACTTCTAAACTTACTTTCCTGACAGAAGGCCTTTCTTACCTTCGTGACTGTTGTAGCAGGATATATACAAACAAAATTATTGAAAAGATATCATACGAAACCTTTAATAATCCTACAATAAAATAGGTGAAACAATATGTGGCGCAATCAATTAAAAAATTCAAACCTTACAGAACACGAGGGAATTCATGAATATACATTTTATGTTGGCGGATTACTACTTAAGGCGTGGTTGCAGCGGTTTTGCACTTTTTTGAAGAGAAATAAATACCCTAATATGCATTTATTGTGCATGAAAATAAATATTTTATAAAAATTAAATATATAATCTAAAGATCCGTAAGGATGGAAACATGATTTATGGCATTAGGCTCGATAAAAAAAAAATCACAGACATAGCACTAACTCACGATTTCAAATAGAAATTGTTGTAAACTGCCACCATGGATTCACGTAAAAATTATACCAAAAAATAGAGCTTATTTTTTTAGGGATTTGTAAGGATACATTTTCACATAGTTGTACTTATAAAAAAAAAGAACCAAAAAATATGTTTTTGCGCTTGCTTACGGCGGCGAAGTTCGCCTGTCAGAGCTCGCTGAGCCTTGTTTGAGGTCGGACGCACGTCATTTTGCTCCGTGAAATTTCCCCCGCGCAAATACGTAAAATTCGTTTTCACAAAGCTTCAACAGAATACTTATAAGTTAATTTTAATATAATTATTCCTTCTATTTTATTAGTTTTTTTTTGTTAACTTCAATCCAATGTGGGTTCATTTATATTTATTTATTAGTTGTAATTTTCACTACATTACTTACATTTATGAAATTATTTTAATGTTTTAAACGCGTCTTTGTAACACTAGATTATAAATTTACTAAGAAATTATTATTTATGTAAATGATTAAACAACCTCTACCTAAATATTTATTTGTTTTATGGTAAATTATTTACGTCGAAAATGTTTATAAAACACAAAAGTAGTAAAATTTTACAAACACAAATTAGTTTCACTGCGCCACAGTCTAACAAAATCAGTATGCATGTGAGTACGGTAAATAAACAGTATTCATTGATAGTATAGAAAGAAGGTAATCAGAAAATGTTATTAGAAATCTCTAATTTTGGTATAGTCAGGCACATTTTAAGTATGTGGAATTCAATAGTATTATAAGTTTATTTATTGTTATTTTGCAGCACTTCGATGAGACAAAGCATATTCACAGGCGTAGTTGAGACCCTACAGAAATCAATTTCTATTGATCATAATACTACGTTAGTTTTTGTATTAATATAAATGGAATAACTGTTTTTTTTAGTTTTGTCGTGTGATAACTAAACAATGGCACTATTTTCAGTGAACAAGAAAACATTCAATATGCGACATTGCAAAACTTCATCCCAGAAATTCAAGATTCTCTTGAAATACCCAATATATCTGAGACGCTTTTTTTGTGAGTTCTCTTTTGATCAAGTTTGTTTTGAAAGGCTTTAATTATTTAGTCCTATTTCTAAGAAAAAATAAAATAAAAGTAGGAGTAAAATGCCTCTGTACAGTAACAAAGTCAAGACATGACCCAATTTCATCCTGTATATAAACACTTAGGACCACAAATCAAATCGTACCTATCTATTATTTTATTTATTTATTTTTAGCCTGTATTGTCCCACTGCAGGGTCTTTATGAGTGACATCTGCTATTTGTGTTTTGGAGCGTAGTGCTGTATTTCTTATTCGGTCTGTAAGCTGTACGCCCAGAATATTACGCTCCATGGCTCGCTGGCAAACCTTCAGCGCGGACCTCTGCTGTCCAGTCAAAGACTAAGTTTGTGCACTATATGTGATAATGGGGAGGATGCACATGTCCATGAGCTTACGCTTATGACATAAGGGAAGGTTACCTTTCATGAGGTCCTTCATCGACCAATAACGTCTGTCAAGAAATCGTAACGATTTCTTCAGAAAATAATGATGATGTGAAAGAGGAAAAGTCTTTGGGCATAAACTTAGCGGCTACAACTAGAATCGTGGCAGCAGGCATCGGGCAGTTTGAAGAATTATTTTCTGCAATAGACATACCCGTCTGTTCGACACATACATACGCACATTTGCAAAACAAGGTATATGCGCATTGGGAACTGACAGCAGCTGATACTATGCAAGCAGTAATAGATAAGGAGAGAGAAATAGACGTATCCGAAAGTCGAACTAAAGGTGGATATCCAGTGACGATATGTATGCCGATGGAGCATGGAGTGCGCGCTCTTAAAGCACCAATTTTAAGGCCCTTTCTGGCGCTGCTGCTATTATTGGCAGAAAAACAGGAGCGGTCTTGTACATGGGTGTAAAAAATAAATACTGTTTGGTTTGTAGCCGGGCTAGTAAAAATAACATAACGCCTCCAGAACATAAATGTTACAAAAACTTTGATGGTCATCTACCTCTATGGAAGCAGATATAATTGCGGAGGGTTTTAAAGCATCTATTGCTATGTACGGAGTAATATACCAAAGACTTATAGCAGATGGTTATACTTATTCCACATATGCTAAAATTTTAAAGGTCACAAGGAAAAATACAGAATTTGACTGTTGAAAAAATAGAATTTCCCAATCATATTTTACGAAATTTTTGTAAAAAGAAGTGACAAAAGAACCAAAGAGACAACATTTTTCTAGTTGCATAGAAAAACTTCAACGAACCAATAAATAATGGCTATGAGAAAATTAATTATTGGGTCGAAAAAATATCACCACCAGTCTGATGTTCTGAAAAACGATACAGTCTCAGTACTTCATAAAGATATAACATATTCAGTTGAACACGCTTACGGAGATCATAGAATAGTACATTTTTATTATACTGAATGCCATTGTTGCAACTGTGGCTGGGAAATCAAGAAGTTTGATTGAAAATGTTGATACCAACACGGTCGAAAGATTTAATAATGTTATAGCTAAATTTGTGGGTGGGAAAAGAATTAATTTTGCTCTCAGACGCGGGTACCAAGGAAGATATGCAGCAGCAGTCGTATCTTTTATCAGGAACTCCGCCATTTCAGCTGAGCAAAAAAAAAATGTTAAATAGAAGTCCTTCAAGCAGAGTTTTGAAGTACATCGAAAAAAAAGGGCCCATAAACGTAAATTGGATTTGGAACATCCAGTAAAAAAGATACGTAGATTTCAAAACGCTAATTACGACCTATAGCACGACTATGGTCAAGCTAGGTCGGCACCAGATATGTCAATGTTTGATTTCTAGCGAAGGAAAGCTAATTTAAACAATTTAATAAATCTTACAGCAGACAGTGTGGTGTGGTGACGGATTAAGAATACGGAGTGTCACCTATTTATCCCGCGGGTGTCGTAAGAGTCGACTAAGGGAGCAAACTACGCAGATCAACAGCACTGCAAAGAGAAGGAAAACTTGACACAAATCCTATACCTATGGCCAGCGTGGTATAGAAGGCCAAAACCTCCTTTATAAAGAGAGGCCTGTGTCCAGCAGTGGACTATTATAGGCTTTTGATGATGATGTGACAGCAGACAGAGATCATATTGAAAGATCGACCGTCCTACAAAGGGACTCGAGTGAGTGGCTTGAAATAAGAAAAAAAAATAACAGCTTCGAATTTAGATAATATTTGCAAGAGAAAACCCTCTACGGATACATCTTCTTTGGTAAAAAATATTTTGTACAAAAAGAATTTGTCGCAAGTGACCTCGCTAGCTCATGGGATTGAACATGAAAAGCAAGCCATACAACAAATTCAGCAAGAAAACCAATTGAAAATTTAAACATGTGAACTTTTTGTTGATAAGCAATACCCATTTATTGGAGCTACACCTGATGGCTTGATTGGGAATGAAAGTTGTTGGTTGAAGTGAAATGCTCATTAGTTGCTGCAAAGAATGATTGCACCAAGCCCTAGAAAATAATAAAATTCAGCTTAAATTATTAAATTAAATATTTTTAACCTCAGGAAAAGAAAATGAACCATCATCAGGCTCTTTAACATATGCTTCAATTCCGAGTGTATCTGACACTAATATTATACAGTACACTAATGTTTGAAATTATCTTTGAAATCACATCATCATCAACAGCCTATACTAGTCTACTGCTGGACATAGGCATCTCCTTAGAAAGGAGGTTTTGGCCTACTATACCTCGCTGGCCAGACGGGTTGGTATAGGGTTTGTTTCAAGTTCCCTGAGTGTGGCTGCGGGTGGGCTTCCGCGTGTGCCGGACGTCGCCTAAAGAGAGGAAAAAGATTTTGAGACGGAGCCCGCAACAGGAGCGGGTCGGCGCTAGGTGGGGTCCGGATGTCTTAATAACAGCTGTTCCCGGATCCCTCCTATTACAGGCGCAGAGTGGCACACCGTGTGGTTTTAGTCGGTCCGAGTCCGACACACCACCCCGCCGCAAACCCCGGTGGGTGACGGTCCAAGGGGATTTACACACGTAAAAAAAAAAAGGGTTTGTTTCAAGTTTTCCTTCTCTTTGCAGTGCTGTTGTCCTGCTTAGTTGTCCCTAG